GGCTGTCCCACCACCCAAAACTTGAAAACAATGGCTGTCAGAGGGGCTTTACCCTGACCGGGGCAGTCTCAGGGATACCCTGCACCAGGCTTCCAGCAGCCTTTGCACTTTGAACGGACAAGAGGGCCCCAACTGACTCACGTCTCCACACTAATGCCCTGCCTGCATTCCTGCCCCGCATTTGCCACGTCTGTGTTCCATGGGACATCTCACACCACCCTTGTCCTAGCGAAGGAACACTCCCAGAGTCTGAGGGGAGGTGGCTTCCCAACGGAAAGCTGTTAATGGGCACCAGGGGCGCGAAGGGGAGAAGGATCGGGGTGCAAGAAGACGGGTAGGAGAGCAGCCCCACCACAGCCCACGGGCACTAAGGGGGCAGGCATTTACCTGATGAAGGTGGTCTTCCCGGTGGAGTACTGCCCCACGAGGAGCACCATGGGCTTATTGTCGAAATCGGCATCCTCCAGTGCAGGTGAGTGGAACTCATGGAACTTGTAGTGCTCTTCCAGGGGGAGCAGCTTGGTTTTGTAGAGCTTTTTCAGGCCCTCGCTGACCGTCTGGAACACCTCGGGGTCCTTCCTCCGGCGGTCATCGGTGCCCAACCAGCTGAACATCTTGGGGCCGCCTGAAGCCAGCTCCGCAGCGACCACCAATGCTGGGCCGGGGAGGGGGGGGCGGCGGGCCTGGGGTGGGGAGGGGGAAGAGCTGCCGCTGGCTGGGCTGGCTGCGGGACGGGCTATCCCCGCATGCCCGCTCCGTCCGGGAGCGGCGGGGTGACCTGGCAGGCCTCGCTCCCCTCCAACGCCCACCCGCCTTCCGTTACGCGACCCGCACACGGGCGGTCTCAGCGGGGAGAAGCTCGCCGCGGGAGGACTAAAAGCGCCGCCGCTCCTCGCAGCCTCGGCTGAGCGGCGCACGCCGCCTCCTTCCCTTCACGCCGCCGGCTCCCGGCGTGGGCATGCCGCGGAGGCGGGGCGGGCGGCGGCGGCGGCAGCGCCCTCCGAGCGCGGCGGGCGGCGGTTAAGACCTGCCCTACAGGAAATGGGCCGGCGCCGGAAGCCGGCGGGGCCTGGCAGGCGCCGCCCGTTCTCCCCGGCGGGTGAAGCCGCGCAGCGCGGCGCCATCTTGAGGCGGGAGAGGCGGGGGGGCACGACGCCCCCTGGGGGCCGAGGCGGGGTTTTGCAGCCCGGCCGCCATTTTATTGCCTTTCTCACCTCCTTGTAAAATAAACCCCTTCATGTGCAAATTTAACGGGGACTAGGCTGTTTCTGAACCCCGCCACCCCGAGTTGCCACCCCAGACCCCTATCCCAGTGACTCGGCTGCGCTACTGCTGCCCCTCGGTTCTCAGGTGCTCGCAGAGATGAGGCTGCCTGTGCCCAGAGGTTCTCACCACGCAAGCAGATGAGACAGGCAAATTAGCTGCTGTCTGCCCTCATTTATTCCTCCAGCAATTAGGGGGCTGACAGGACAGCTGCCGAGCGAAGGCTGCAGAGCTGGGGCCAAAGCCTGCGTGGGTCTTCCATCAGCGGCCCGTTGCGTGTCCCCAGGGCCGGCCATCAGCCGCAACACCCCGCTGCGGGCCTCGCCTTTTCACCACAGAGCGTGTGGGACAGAGCAGGGAGTTATTCCTGTAATCTCTCCTTCCCAACAGCATTTTTTTCCCTTGAATTGATCCAGCGGGGATGTGAAATGTGGCAAGAGGCAGTGTTGGAAGCAGTCCCACTGTGTGGCAGACGCCTGCCCTTCCCCAGCTATTTGCAGACGGGAGCAGCCCAGCCTTGCGTAAGCAGAGGTGAATTAAACGTGGTTGTTTCTCATGGGTTGGGGGGATATCCAGAGATGAGTGCATCCTTGTGTGCCTGGATAACAATCCGGGTCCCTTTCCATGCATCTGGCTGCTGGAGCAGGCATTTTCCTGGTTATTCCTGTTGTGTGATCCCATGCGCTTGTACACTCTGCGGTACAGCCTGACCCATGAGGTGCAAGTGATGGCTCCAGGGACTGGTTTTCTGGAAGAGAATTGCAAGCTGACTGTATTTGCCGAAGGTCAGGCTCCTCTGCTTTCCTGCCAGTGCCTAAAGCTGGTCTGAACGTGGGATTAATGTTTTGAAACCTCCTTAAGACTGATTTCCCTCATTTCTTTAGTTTTATAAGTTGAGATTTTTGGCTTTAAGAATTTAATAACTCCTTTTCCAGTGAAAACTCCTGAAAATGAAAGACCCCGTAGAAATCAACATGTTTTGGCAAGTATTGCTCATATTGTAGGAAAAAAATCACTTTCATCTTCTAGATAGTTCTGCCATTTAAGGGCTGCACTGATATTTCTACAGCTATATATGGAGTCTCTTTGGTGCTTACTTGTGATATCCTCCGAGCTGAGCAAAGGTCAGGCCAGGAAGCCTTTGATTGTAAATCTCTGCAAGCCACCTTGGTGCCCTTCCTGAGTGCAATGAATAGGGGAGGAAAGCAAGGTTTCTGTTGTGCAAGCTGCAGGAGCTGACTGCTACAGGTATGGGAGAGCCACGCTTTGGCCCATGTTCACAAGAAGAGGGTATATGTTAATTGTTAAGTTGTGCTAATCATATACCGTATGGCCAGAAAAATGGTTCCTTGCCCTGTCTAAAGAGAGTCCCTTTCCTTTGGATTCTTTATCACCGGGGCAGATCACAACCAAGCTTGACAGTTTTTATAGACTTTCTTTAGGTGTCTCACAAACCTTGCACAATTTGATTTACTTTTCAGTCTGTTTTATTAGCCATGTGTCTTTGGAAGGCGTACTTCCTCAAGGACTCCTTTTACCTTGAAGTGTAGAGCTTGTCAGAAACAATGGGAAGTAAAATGAGGAGAGGAAGCTTAGGGTATAATGAGGTTTTTCTTTTTGCCAGAATCTGAACTGAAAATTTTCATCTGTTTTCATTGTTTATTCCTTTTCATTTGTGAAACAGGGATGTTGTAGTGGATGCTTTGTGTTGGACAGGTTGGTCTCATGGCGCAATATTTAGGCAATTCTAAAGAATAGTTAACATTTTAGAAATTCTGAAACAGAAAGAGCACAAACCCAATTAAATAATATTAATATAATGGAATATTTTTTTTTAAATGATGCTTCATTAGTGGAAGAATGGCTGTTTTTTCTTGGTAGTTTCTGAGCTGTTCATACGTGAAAGGTCTTTCTTGTCCCGTACAGAAACTACTGTGCTGCTCAGAACATACCTGTATCTGATACCGATGAGGGTCTGCTACGCCCTTTACTATAGAATTTGTCTTTTTCCCTCAAGCTATGATGGATTAAACTTTTAGCTCTGTATTTTCTGCTGATGGCTGCCAGTCACTCAGCTGGATGCTTGCCTTGACCAGGAGAGAGAAACTTTGCTGGAGAAGATTCACTTCCACTTTGCTAGAAGTGAATGGGAATGGACCAAGTCACATAGTGTTTGCACTCAAAATGAAACCTGATTTTGAGGGGTGAAACACAATGTTGTATAACTGAAACTCGTTTCATATGACATCAAGTCATGGTGACGTGTGTGTGTTTGCTTATCTCTTGCCTTAGGTTGGTCAGGTTTACTTCCTACACAAGGTCAACTGAGGATGGGGACATTAGCAAGTTACTGAGCTGGAAAAGAGGTGGTGACTCAGTATTGTAATGCTTTGACACTGTGAAGAAACTTGTAGGAACAATGTAATTCAGTAAAATTAACTTCCTGACTGTACAGTTACTGTCACTGTTTGTTCATTACCAAGTAAGAAACCTAAGCAGTGTCAGAAGTTCAGGTAACAATGGATTCAATAGGGAATAGTCAGGTTGTGCAAAAGGGATGAGGGGAGAGGAAGGTGCAGTGGGTCCCCATAATTTAACCAAATACACTAATTTGATGAGTAAGGGAAGGACAGTTTCTTCTGGTTCAGCTAGATCAAACTTCTTTACAGCCTGCTGTTGACACGTGGCTTAGGAACAAGTGTCTCCAGCGTAGTCTGTGCTTTTCCTCACTAATTGCTGTGCGTTTACCACCCAGAAAGCTGCTGCCTTGCTCTCCTGCCCTTACTGCTCCTTCATATTCCTCTGAAATATTTCCCATTATGTTTCTTCTACCATTGTTCTCATGTGGCCTAGCATGCACATGCTGTCCTTTTCCCTACCCTCTCCATGCTGCTTTTATCTCCTCATTGCCTGGGGTGGAACAAGGTGCTGGGACCCAGAAATGCCACTACAAACGGAGAATGTGGGATTGGCTAATGTACGTATAATGAGGGGGAAGTATGCTTGCCTCCAGAGAGCTTTCTCCTTAAATTTGTACAGCAAATAAAACATGTTGTATTGCACATAAGGTACATGACCCATGCAATGTCTTTAATGGTGCTGAAAAGAAAAATCCTCTTGAGCCTTTTACCATCCTTGTGATGCAGAAGCCTGGGGGTTTCTCATATAACTTTCGGATGGTTTTGACTGTCTCTGTCATAGGATTTATACTTCCCTCAAAATCTCATAAATGTTTCTTTTAGAAATCATTATGATTTAGTTATTGACAAAGTTGAGAGACTGTCATGGCCCCATCTGGTCTGAGAAAATGTGAGGGTTTTGAGGGTATTTCCTTTCTGTGTTTTGTCTTACCTGAAAGCAGAAACCTTGTTAGAACATATTAAGACACAGCTGAATGCATCTTCCTTGTTGGTGGTATTCGGAGAGACGTGGAGTTTTGTACTTTGACTAACCAAATGGCTAATTAAACAAGGAAGCTGCTGTCCGTTGAAGCGATAGGTGAGTCAAACGGTAGTCTGCATGATAGGCTGACCTGTTCTTTCATGTCTTCTCTGGGATATTTTGCATTGGGCTCATCAGAAATTTTCTGGCATTACTCAGTATGCTTTTTTAACCCACCTCCTGCTTCTACCCCAGTGCTTGATAGGTTAGCATTAGCTCTCGGGATTACGTAGGCAAGACATATATATATATATGCATGTACATGTGCACATAAATTCACACATAGGTAGAGATAACATACACCATCTAAAAGCAGCAGGCATCACTGCCAGTGGGACAATTATCCTTCACTTGAAGACACACCTGGAAAAGGTAGGACCTCAAATGCCAAGTGCTATGAGGAGGGATTTGGTGCTGGCATTCAGCAGTTGCCTGTGGCTAGTACAGACTTAGGATTTTGCGGGGGGTTGAAAGGAGTATAACTCTGTCGTCCCAGCAGGATGCTGAGTTGAAGTTGTCCTCTAGGATCAGATGGGTGTATTAGTTACACAACGCTGCTGGCAGTGCTTAGTGTACAGCTGCTGCTGTTCTTTTCTCTGGAAGTTGTAGAGAACGGCAAAAAGTTCCTATTAGCAAACGTGAGAAGAATGGGTGGGATGTAAAGCAACTAGACGAACTGCACCAGCTGCTCACGTCACAGCTCCAGAGTCAAGCCACATTTTGTGCACCTTTTTTCCCTCAGTTCTGCTGTTTAGGGGTGGCTTAGCTGATACATGATCAGAAAATATTCTGCAGAGATCAAAAGCTTCACCTGAATTAAATGGGAGTTGTGGGCAGTCAGAATCTCTAATGATGATGATTATGAATAGGATGTGTAACCTGAAGTGTTGAAGGATAGATCTTGATGGGATTCTCATATTTCCACTGATTTCAATGTGGCTTGGGTAATTTACGCAGCAAAGAATATGTATTTTAAATTCTCAATCAGAGTCTTTAAAAGTGAATGTCAGGGAGACATTGTTTGAAGTTCTGAAAGCCATCCAGGCATTTTTGCTACAGGCTTTTTGTTAATATCATTGGGAGGCTCTGGGGCAGATTCACTGCTCAGCCTTGAAAATCTCAGCACCAGAAGGTGTTTATCAACATTTGGGACAATAATCTAAGCACTGGGAAATCAGAGCAAGGTCCTCCACTTGATGGTATGTTCATTCATTTTGTGAGAAAACACAGTTCAGTGCTTCTTTTCAGGATATTTTTATTTGCTAAAAAGCCCATAGGAAGAATGGGAGTCAGCTTTGAGTTTTTATTTCTGAAATACACCACTCCATTTAATCAAAGACTTCACGTTGTACCTGCAAGTGGTCTTTTTATACTGTGTTTAGAGACTAATAAAGATTAACAAAGCCTAATACAGTCATGTTTCCATTTTGACTAATGACTACTAATTTATGTAGCTAATGTTCTGCTGTATTACGAGAACAGTTGTAAAAGATGGCCCTGCATTGTTTGCTGTGCTCACCCGAAAATTTATTTTGCATGCAGACATTTGTTCTGTTCCAGACAATCAGGAGCAGCTCCTCAGCGCAGATAGATTGTATTCATTAAATCAGAGGAGATGAGAGTAAGGGGCTCTCATAGAATTCTTTCATGGTCCAATTACTTTTACTAAAAGTGAAGGATTTTCTGTGAATTCTTCAGATACTCATTTTAAGATTTAGGGACAGGTCTTTAAGATGTGAGAAAGATATAGAAGAAGTCGTAGGATGCTAATGTAGTGGAAGGACTTAGGCTGCAAACATACTAACAAGGGGAATGTGCGGTGAGTAGAGAATCAAATCCATCCAACCTACCGGTTCACGGCTTCTATCTAAAGCTTTTAACCTCTGTCTGCTACACTTGACTGCTTTCCCTTAGAAATTTTAATTGCAGGAAGAGACCTGCAATTACTGTGCTTCACCTGTGCCGGAGGACACAGTGGGACATCCCCATTCAGTCTGGTTTGGTGACAGGGCTGGGTGGAGTACAAGTGATTTCCAGGTATACCTTGGCTAGCTGTATGCAGCTGTGTCTGGCACCTGCTCATACACATGACTGCAGCCAGACAGCAGGCAGAAGAAGGTGGAAACATGAGATGGAGCACATTGTAGTCTGTCTAATGAGTGACTGTTCATGACACATAAAATGCTTCACTGCATCTTTTGTTTGGAGATTTCCAGGTAGTTTGGAAAAGTGTTTAAAACAATACACATACAGGTAGGTTCAGCTGGGAGGTTTTCAAATCATGTAAAGTAGCTGCATTATTGACTCAACACAGACTGATACAGTTGAGTCTGGTGGCTTAGTTTCTTGAAAAAAGGGCTCCATATTCAAATGATTTAAATCTCCATTTTTGAAAGCATCATTTTGGGTTGTTTTTTTTTTTTTTCAGACTATCTCTGGGTTTCAAGGCCTATCTATAAAGTTTAGTTCTTTTTCAAATAAATGCCAGAATGAGGTGAGAACTGGTGAAGGGTTACAATAATTTTGTCAGGCATAAATACTCTGCACACCCTAAAAGCAAGTCTCAAGTATTTCCTCTTCAGTGTAGCTCAAAGTATATCAGTTGCTCATCAGTGTTTTTCCTGGGGAGCAGCAAAATGAGAAATTCTTCTTCATACGTATTTTGTCTGTCTATATAAAGTGCAGCCAGTCACCAGGCTGTTTCCTTCCTCTTGTTTTTCTCTTAAATCTATCTCTCTGTCTGTTGCTCCTGTTGTTGTAGCTGTGAAAGTCAATGGCTATGAAAGGCAAAGTTTGGAGGGACAGTATTTTTCATCTGCAAAAAAAACCAAGCAGGCAAGTTGTTAGGCACTTAAATCCTTTTTCAAGTCTGAAATGTTTACTGTACAATAGAAAATGGAATTTTTGTTGCCAGGGTTATATTTTGAAGATTTTTCCTTGGTTGCCCTTGAGGATCATGCCTTGTGGATAAGTTGTAGAGCGATTTTATAACAAATGAAGGCTCTGTGCGGGAAGGATGTCACAATCTGTGGTTGTTTGGTTTTTCACAGGGAACACCAGTGACCTTCGACTTTGATGGGATGGGAGTAGCAATCAACTGATTCCTAATTGAGACTAGTTTCCTAGGGTGCCTGGGGCAGTGATTCCTCTGCAGGAAAGCTTTCCAAATGCTGTATCATTATGGCATGTGAACTGTTTATTGAACTTTGTAGCCCAATTCAGTTTTCAGTCCACACTGTAATGAGAAGGCTGTGATTATGATCACCTTCTTGCCACTGAGGGGTGTGATTTGTCTGCTGAGAGTTTAATCATCATTTCTCTCAGGAGCCCACCACTTGTAGCAGAAGGTGATCACAGGATCACTGAATAGTTTGGATTGGAAGGGACCTTAAAGACCATCTAATTCCAACCCCCTGCCATGTGCAGGGACACCTTTTCCCTTACACCAGGTTGCTCAAAGGCCTTGAAAATCATAGAATGGTTCGGGTTGAAAAGTTCCTTAAATGTTTAGCATAGCTGCTAATATTAAAAAAGGGCAATGAAATCACTCTGCTGTTTTCAGTGGGGGGATGAGAAACAGCGATCTCAAATGTTACAAGAAAAAAATTACCTCAGCATGTGAATCTGTGGTAATCAGCAAGATGGAATGTGATCTCTTGGGAGAGATTGTATCATTCTCCAAAATGAGGCAAAAAGGGCAAAATAACCTTTGGAGGGGTGTGAGTAATGGCTTTATAACACCTAATATATTCCATTTTTCTGTTAGCCTTTGGTATATGTGTTATTTTTCTTCCTTTTTGGGAAGGGGAAATAACCACATGCCAGAATGTGATTGAATAAAAACTGTCATTCATGTTGCAGTGCGTTATGAAAATATCCTGGAAAGCCTAAAATAGTCCAGGGAGACTGAGAATAACTGTGTGTATGGCTTCAAAGCCTCATTAAAAGTCAATGGGGTCACTCATTTTGATTTCACTCAGATCTACAGTGAATGTAAATCCCTGAAATGGAGTAATAGGTGCTAGATTAGGATCAGATGAGTCCCCACTCCTCCAGGGAGGGCCACCCCCTTGCCGCTCCCTGCTGGCTAAAGAGAAAACTATAAAAGCCATGTTTAAATTGACTCTTTACACTTATTTTAATTATCAGGAATTCTCTGGGAGAAGTCACACCTCATCCCAAGAAAACAGGAGCTTCCAGCAGGACTGTGCAGGGTGAGATCCCTGCAGAATCCTCAGTGTAAAAGAATTATCGAGGCGTTACTGTGGATATCACCATGCCTTTTCTCCTGTGCTTGAAAAGAAAGAAGTCACCTGTGCCTTTAGGCAGGAGTATCTTTCAGAAACACCCCCCTCTCACCCAGCAGAACTATCAGGCCTTGCTGGAGACTTGCTTGAAGAACAATCAGCTGTTCACAGATGACAGCTTCCCTGCTCACATCAGCTCTATTGGAACCGGAGCACTGCTGAAGAAACTGCCTCAAAATTTACAGTGGAAGAGGCCACATGTAAGTGAGTTTCAGTGAATACTGTAGTGTAAGAGGATGATCACAGCTGATAGCCAGGAAATAGTTTTAACATTGATTGGACTATTCTTAGACTTTAATTTAGGTGTGCTTTAATGCTTCTAGAGATTACATATGTTGTATCAGCTGTCATTTTGGAAGCTGGGCTATGCAGAGTTTTGTAATTGCCTTTGAAGCATTTATTGCCCAAAATCATAACCAGGTGCACTGAGTTTATACCCAGTAATGCTCAGAGCAGGCAGGGAGAACAGGCAAAGGGAGCAGGGGGAGCTGGTGTCCATACAGCTCATAGCTCTGATGATCCCACCATGATTGCATGATGACAGTTCTTATGGTGATGATCCCTCTCCACAAAATCCAGGATCTTGACCTTTCAGAAAATTTCTGAGTTTTGAGACAGTTCTTAGCCTTTGAACCCTCTCCCATGGACCACATACCCTTGTGATGCTGTAGTCTGCTTTTTTTCACATGCAGCAGCAGGTGCCTTATCTTGCTGGGCTGTTTTTTCAGTGCTTAACTGTTTAGTGTATTCTACTTAGAACAGTCTTTTCCCAGCTTTCAAGGTTTGGCTTGTACTGATACCAGTAACTGACCATTAGTCAGTAAGTTGTTTTTAGTTCTGGGACCTGTTTTCTACTGTGCACATATTTCGAAGGCCTTTTCTGATATCCTATGCTTAAACTGTACCTCAGAATAAGAGACACCTTGTTGTATGGGCTGGTAACAGAGCACATTCTCATAACGGATAGATGCCAAGAGCAGGAGGCCATGGCAGGGGCCTGGCACAGTTAGATAAGGCCTGTTACTAGCAATGCTAGTTCTGTTCTTACTGAGCCACTGAGCAACATACTGACAATCAGAACATCCTGAAAGCAACATATAGATTTATCTGAGAGTTTCAATTCTCATGTTACCATGTCTGTAACAGAATTCAGCCAGGTAATAGCAGATAGCATCTCCTAGCTAAGATATTTTCTAGCTGTGATATTTTATCAGATTTAATCAATTTCTTAGAAGGGCTGAGCTTCTGCAAAAGTAATGAAAATCACCAGGAAAGTAGAGGCACCTTTGCTAAGTGAGCAGGAGAGTTTGGAAATAGCAGCCCTCGTTCTCAGAGTTTTGTATGTTATTCATCTCACAGATGGTTTGTGTTAAGTCAGAATCTGCATGCAGAGGAAGAGTGCAGTCCTCAGGGGCCTGAGCTGGATTGTGCTGCCCTGTGGCTGAGGCAGCTAAATCAGCATAGAGGTATTTGGGTAGGAGAGGTCAACATGAGTCCTGGCCTCTACAAAGCCCTTGAGGTGTAGATACCACCCCAGAGATAATGGAATGGACTTGAAAGCTCCCTTGTCTCTCAGTCCACCATTCTGCTGCTCTAAACTGCCTTGTGAGGAAGGCTGCCATTTTCTCTAAATGCCAAACATAGCCCAGCAAAGGCTTTTTGAGGATGAATGCTGTGCATCCTTCAGTCCCTGTGCTGCAGAGGAAAATACTGAGATTCTGCCATTCAGCCTGCAGGCTTGTAGCTTGCTGCCTCTATGACTGATGACCTGCAAATTGAACACCCAAATTCACCAAGGATGGGGGTTGGTGTCTAATTACTGTAACTGCCTTCTGAGGGTTTTCTGTTTCTCTGCTACTGCCTGAAGGGGAAGCCAACAGTGTGAAAATTAGATTGAGCAATTTGTGGGTCATTCAAGTGAAACATAAGTTTGACACTTGGGTTATTATTTAACCCCAGAGGCACTTGTGAGAGGGGAAAAAAATAACAACATAATTTCTCTCTGAACAATTATTCATGGACCTACTCTTGTCACATCAACAGGAACTTCTGTAATAGCCATCAGTTAGTCTGTAGCTCAATTGCCAGTTGTGGAGACATGAGCCAGGCTACCTGAAAGTTTGAACAGTTATGCTCTGCCATACTTGTCAGCAATTAGGGAGGAGCAGGGCTGGCAGATCTGCAGGGTTCTCTTCTCAATGCATCTGCACATCAGTGACTTACATTGAGACCAAATTCAATGCAGACCAAGCACAAATGTATGCCCAGGCTTGGGTCAGGTTAGCCAGAGCACTTGATAACACTGGAGTTATACCTGAACCAGAAGAATGTCTGCTGGGACAAAGGGACCACAAGCATTTCGAAAGCTTTGAATAGGCAGAGGGAATGTTTTGTGTCACATATCCATGAGGTTTTTACATCCTAGACTAGGAACTCACTGGATTTCTCATTTTAGGAGACTACAGAAAGTCCTTGACTTTAGGCTAACCCAGCTTATGTTACTGACTTGACTCTCTCATATTTTTTTGGTTATGTGCTTTCCAGGCTTTGCATAGAAGTCCAGTATTTTATGCTGCAAACAGAAAGCAACTTGATCTCTGCCAAGGACTGGTGGGTAAGGAAGCTCTTTTGTATAAATATTTAAGAATTTTTATACAAGATAACATTTTCCCTGGAAATTTGACTGTATAAAACTTGGCGTAGAAATAGAAGGTGTACATATCCTTCTATCTTCACTTGGCATGATGTGGATGAAACAATCATTAAGTTGGGATAGACTCAGTAAAAAACCTGTCAAATTTTAAGGTAGGATTTGAGGCATGAAAGGTGTCTCCACCAGCTGGAATCACCACTCTTTTTGCATATTAATACTGCAATAGGAAGTGATCCTGTGCTCTTACTGATCTGGAATGTTGTTACTTGACCTGCACAGAGACCACAGAAGCAGGCAAATCTGAAACTTTCACTATCTTTGTACTGAAGGGTCAGTATGATTGTGTTCTCTTCCCGGTTTTGCAGTTAGGAAAGTAAATGCTATGCTCGTGTTACCTGAAATGAAAGGGTATATTGTCATCTGCAAAACAGGTAGGGCAGGACTAAATTCATGTTGAAGTGCTTAAGCCCTTAAGCACGAAGTCTGATAAATACAGTCTTGTGTGTGAGATCCATTGGAAATTATTTTTCACTTCTGAAAAGTTAATGTTTTCTAAGAAAAATGGATTTTTTTTTTAAATAGTGTGCCTTTATAAAGAACAGAGAAACAACCCCTAATGCACAATGTCCATAAAACCCCATAATATTTCCACTGACAGCTATTTCTTGTTAGATTTCTTATTTAACCAAAGAGTATCCAAATAAAAAGATCATGGGGGAACAATTACAAACCATAGTTTGGTTAAGTAAAGCACACATCTGGATCATCTCATTTTCTGGGTACGATGTGTTATGATTGTATGGACAGTTGTTATAACTGTAAAGACATCAGCACGACAGCTCTTCGGCAGGATCTTGGTGGTGTTCCTGAACTTGGCTGACAACACTCGCTTTTCAGCCAACTGCATGTGTCCGTTTGTCTTGGCGCAGAGAACTGCTGGTTCCTGGCAGCCCTGCAAGCCCTGACGTTCCACCAGGACATCTTTGCTGCAGTCGTGCCACAAAACCAGAGCTTTGAGAGGAAATATGCTGGCATTTTCCACTTCCAGGTACATCTGCTCTCCCAGAGGACAGGAGGTCTTTACAAATCCTCTGTCATGTTTTATGTCACACTCTGAGATAATTTGTATGCTGTTTCCCTTGCCCAGGGGGGCAAGTGGCCAGAGGCTATCCCAGCCTGGAGAGTAGCCCATCACCCCTCCCAGAGAGCAGTGCAGTGGATCAACTACAAGCTGCTCTGAGGATATAACTCTGCTTGGCCTTTCTCTCCAGCTGTGCCCTACCCATATTTTAATCCAGATAAAAGCCTTTTTACACAGTAGCAACAAGTGGCGCGACTTGAGCACATCTCTTCCAACCTTCTACCACTTTGCCCAGCTTTTGATACCACTTTGCTACCCTGCAGTTAGGAATTCCTTCCCCAGAAACCCAACTGTGCCTCATTTCCCTGTTTAATCCTTTTGCACCTGATGTTTTCTCCTCTGGCAGGGTGGGGCTGAAGAGCTGGTTCTTTGGGTGAGTCAGTATGTCTCGCTGACCCAAAGCAGCTTGTCCTGTGCCCATAGCTAAGCTGTTTTGCCTTTCCTGTTGTTTCAAGGGGAGGTCCCTTCCAAGGGAAACATCAGCTCATTCTTTTCCCATTCCTTTCTCCTGACAGTTCTGGCATTTCGGTGAATGGGTTGACGTGGTGGTTGATGATCGCCTGCCTGTGAATGAGGCAGGGGAGCTGATCTTTGTTTCCTCAGTCTATAAGAACGTGTTCTGGGGAGCCCTTCTGGAGAAGGCATATGCTAAGTAAGTGACTCATTCCAATTTATGCAAATAGTGTCTCTAAAATATGTTGGTTAGTGCCTACACAGTTTGTTCTTGTTTATAACTGCATCTCCTAAGCCTTGCCATGTTTGGAGTGTAGTAAGTGGTTCTTATCTTTTTGTTGTTATGCAGTAAAAGCTACTGCTGTAGTAGCTGTTATCAATCCAGGCCCTTGAATTAAAATCCAAAGGTTTAGGAATAGGTGTGAAACAGACCTATTGTGGGGGGATTGTCCTGTGTGTGCTATTACTGTTTGGAGTGTACTGGCTAGGCTCAAGCTTTCCTTGTAATACTGCAGAGGAGAGAAGGCCACAAGTTTTTTAAAGAACCAGGATTTTGAAAGGCGAATGATTTCTGATGCCTCCTTTGATGTATTACGAGTTCGAGAAACCTCCAAGGAGTTTCACTTTGGGTGTCTGCTGGAAAGTTGTATTTTGGTTTTGGTAAAAATCCCCCAAAGCTGAGGCATCTAACAAGTTGCATGGTACAGTGAGAATGCTGGCTTCTCTCCAGGGTGTTTTGTCTAGAGTGGTTTATTGGGACTAAGAAGGCAGAACTGATGGCATTTGTTAATATTGGGCTGAAATAATTTCTTCAGAGCCGGGAAATCTCCTAGTTAATATTGAGAGAAAGATCCCGACAAAGGTGAGAAAGCTGAGATATTTTCATTTGGTGTTAGAGCAAAATGACCAGAGAAAGTTGCACTGCAGTGGTAAAGAAAGTTAAATGGAGACAGTATGCCTCTCAAGGCACTATACCTTAGATATAGATATATGGTGATAAATTTAGGAAACATTTGCTAAGGCAGAATTATCAAAGAAGTAGTGAGGTACATGTTCTCGTTATTGTGCAGTGAGGAGTGTCAGTGAGAGACCTTTTAGGCTATGGCTGATCTTGAGGACCATTTGCTAGATCCCCCTCTTTCTAAATTCCAAAGATTCTCCTTGAATTAACCATGACTTACAACCTTCCTGTTGTTTTTGCAAGCCTTTATTGTAAGTTTTCATTGGTACACTGTTCTCTTCTTACCATGTGGGACTATAATCCCAAGAATATATTGGTGTCTTTTTTCCTAGACTCTATGGCTCCTATGAAGATCTGCAATTTGGGCAAGTTTCAGAAGCCTTGGTGGATTTTACAGGTGGTGTTAATGTAAGGATCAAGCTTGCAGCAGCCCCTCCTGATTTGTGGGATATCCTGACCAGAGCCACCTACAGCAGATCTCTTATGGGCTGTCAGACACATTTAGGGGTGAGACTTGGAGTGACATCAAAAGGCTTCACAGCTGAAAGCCTTTCCAGACCTGTTTTGCTCTGCTCAGCTAGTCACTGTGACTCAAAAAAGTATCAAAGCTGCTGCACGGGACTTTCTATAGAAGCCACATTCTTAAAGTTAAACTTTGCACATGGATTGATTTTCTGCTGCTCTCAGCTCCCTGTTGTTATCCTTAGGGACTGGTTTATCTATCAAAGAACCTCTATTACATATTGTTCTTCTTCCCATTTTTGTTAAATAAATTTTCCATTTTTACAGGTGGTGCAGTGAGGCTCAGAGACTCATGGAATATCTTGTATCTAAGATAGAGAGGTGTGTAGTTCAGAACATGAATTCAGATCTTGGCTTCCAAGATTTAGACTGGATATTAGGGAAAAAAAATTCACTATGAGGGTGGTGAGGCCCTGGCACAGGTTGCTCAGAGGAGTTGTGGCTGCCCCGTCCCTGGCAGTGTTTAAGGCCAGGTTGGGCAGGGTTTGGTCTAGTGGAAGGTGTCCCTGCCCATAGCAGAGGATTGGAACTGGATGGTCTTTATGGTCCCTTCTAACCCCAGTTAGAACTAACAGTTCTATGATTCTGCTGTTCCTGGACTTTTAAAAAGTGAGGTCTCTAGCCAAAGATCCATAATTTAGGAAGAGATCTTCCTATCAACTTTCCAAATCCAAACATACTGCAAAATATGGCTGTTAGGAGCTTAGACTTAATCTTTTTTTTTTTTTTTTTTTCCAGTTCAAACCAATCTTTCTTTGCTTTGAGAGTCATTGCTTGCACTGATACAGGTCTCTGGTATTAGTATGAGTCTGCTGTGTAAGCAGGGATAAAATAAAAGGTTTATTTTCCTTCTGTTTCTCTTCCTTGTATACAGGCAACAAAGGTCTTGAAGAATGGGCTTGTTGCTGGCCATGCCTACACAGTAACTGGTATTAGAAAGGTAAGACTATCCCTAATGTCCTGGGTCCAGGTTTGTTTGGATGTCAGCAATTTTTATTGCGTAGGTTCAAGCTTTAGGTTGCCATAGGAAATCTATCTTATTTCTTCCCCCAGTGCTCTTGTCTTACTCTAAGGCTAAAAGAGACTGTGTGTAAGAGTTCACTTCCAAGTGTGTCCATTTTAGTATCGTGACCTTAATGTAAAGGACAGTGGTTATAGATCAGCATATCTAAAAGTGTGGGAATGATTCCTAGAGCTCTGCTGAAAGCATCACCTACAAATGCATCTTGGATGTTGAGAATGAAAGAACTGGCCTTTGGGGATGCTGGGAGGATGTGCTGAAAGCTACTTGCGATAAAAAGTCTTCCTCTGAAATCAGAGGAGGGACCACAGAGAAGTAGAGATAATGGAATACAAGGGCCAAAACCATGAAAAACTGCAGATGGAAACGTGAGTCAAGGCTAAAATAAGGGAACTGAGCCAGGCTTCTGAGCAGAGAGTGCAGGTGGATCCCACTGATCTGCAGAAGTGTCACTGGAAGTCCCCTAAAGGTATCTGTCTAGCAGTAAGTGGCAGTAAAATAGTAAGTGCCAATGCAGTGTTACTGTTTTCTGCAGGTGACCTGTCAATATGGACCGGAAAACCTAGTGAGACTGAGAAATCCATGGGGAAAAATTGAATGGAAAGGAGACTGGAGTGACAGGTGAGTTTAAAAAAGGGAGGGTCTGATGCCCAGTGGGAGGAAAAGTTTCTTGGAGGAAAGATGCTGCCATCTTCAGGCATGAATTAGTGCTGAGAGCAGCCTTAAGAGAAGTAACAGTTGCTTGCACAGACCCTCTGGTGTCAAAGCAATGACTTGATAGATTTGTATTTCGTCCAGCACATAGTGCTCCCATAGCTGGGCTCATTTCACACATGCAGCTTCAACAAGCTCAGTTCTTTTCCATTCACTGAATACCAGAGGAAACATAATGTGAACATCAGACACGGACCACATTGCTGTGACCTGGCTGGCATACAGTGGCAGCTATGCAGGAAGCTTTAAACAAACAGTATGTTTCAGGGCATGGGAGGGACCATGCAAAGTCCTCCATGGGCTGCAAAGTGTTGGAATTGAGTGGCTGTGAAGGAGTCCTCCATCCTGGCTGGGGGATGGGGAAACACAAGTATGAGATCAAAGGAAGCAACTAGTGGGGCAAATGGGCCCTTATATTTGCATCTGCCTGAAGTTTTTGATTCAGAGCCATGCAAGATAATGGTTTGTATTCTAGACCACTGGCAACTGTAGACTTGTGTCCTATTCCTCTTTGAAACGGAGCACATTCCTTTCTTCCAAGCTTCACTTCATCCCCTGTTTGCTGAGGCTTGGAGGTAGGGAGGAGGGAAGAGCACAGGGAGGTGTTGGGAACTGTGAGTGACTTTCACCTTGTCTGCAGAGCAGTAACTTCTCTGATGCGTGTCTGTCACATAATGACAACATACCAGCTGTTCCTGTTAAAGAGCATAATGAGCAACATACTGTAGGCCTGCCTTTTAAATGACTCCCAGCTGCCTCTTGTGCTGTCCTAGTCATTCATTCATTATGCCAAACACTCTTCCTATTATGTCTCCTTTGACAGAAAATTAACCAACAAAACAGGTCTAGATTTTTATGGTTTAAGTACTTGGAAGCTGTGTGTGCAAGTGAATGGACTGGCGTATGGAAATGGAGTATTTCTGGCTACTGCTGGAGAAAACTGGAGTCATTTAGCTACATCTCATGGGACCCAGAGTGCTTGTGGAGCATCTCCTGTGGCTGAAGGCATAGGGGACCTGTGTTTAGTGGGGAATAAATGTGGAGATATGTGGGGAGAGGAATTTGGCTTCTTTTTTTTAGAGAAAAGCTGTGTACTCTGCCTTGAATTTGAGGCAATGTTTGAATAGTCACCTTGTTTTTGCCCTCAGCTCTTACAAATGGGAGCTGCTGAGCCCGAAGGAGAAGATTTTGCTGAGGAAAAAGAAGGATGACGGAGAATTCTGGTAATGGCACAGGCTTGCTTTTCTCTTCTCTGCCAGTAGCTCTAGCGCTGCATCTGGAGATGAAGCAGCCCATTTAGGTCAAGGTATATGGGATCTCCTTTATGACAGCCCCTGCTTGCTTTTTTGTTCTGTCCTCTGCTACATGACAACGTGAGAAGCAGTAGCTGTGCTGACACAGAAGACATTCAGTGTGCTTCAGTGGCAGGAGGGAAGGAGAAGCAGGACACTGTTGCTGGAGACAGCTTTCAGGAGTTTTTGTCCTGCCTTTTTTTGACGATAGCTTTGGGAAGCTCTTGCGTGCCTTGTTTGTTCGTGGTTTCTCCATAGCTTCTGCCACGAGGTGGCAATATTGTCACCCGCGTCGTTTCACTGCTCTCCCTTCGGTGGCAGTATTATTTTAATCTCTGTGCTGCTATCCTTTACTGAATTTTCAGTCGTGCATTTGCTACTCATAGCTGCTGCTGATGGAGCAGACGCTCTTTTCTTTACTGCCTAATAAAATATGAGCATTACCATATGTAACACAAAATGGTGCAGCTTCGAAGTTCCCTGCTCCTTTTTCTTTTTTATAAGCCATATGGACTAAACTAAACTGCTGACAAAATGTTTCTTGGCACTCTTTTCCCAGGATGTCTCTGCAAGATTTTAAGATTCATTTCGTAGATCTGATGATCTGTAAGTTAACTCCAGACCTGATGAGCCAGGAATATGGGAAGAAGTGGATGTACTCCCTGAAGAGAGGGAGATGGGTTAAAGGAAGTACAGCAGGAGGAAGTCTGGGATTCCATAATGGTGAGGGATGCGCTTTTGGATGACTTTGCGGTAATGTTGCTTTCTTAACACAATTACCAACACTTTATACCTGTTAACACAAAACTGACAACAGAAACATGGTCTTCCTGCCTCTCCCTCCACACAAACATCAGAAATAAGCAGCTGAAGGACTTTGCAGCTTCTGTGATAGCAGAGGCTAGTCATTACTTGCTAGCATAGGGTAGTGGGCTTGTTACGGCATGAAATGAGGTGAAGGATCCTAGGATCAATTGCCAGCACTGAGCCTCTTTGTGGCATTAAACTTGTTTGTTAAAATTTGCATCCTTGGCACCTACAGAGAGTGGTGTTTGAAGTAAAGTGGATGGGAAATGCAGAGGCTCAGCCCTCCTGGAGGCGGAGCAGATGGGATCTGAAGTCAGCTAGCCCATACACTGGAGGTGATAGAGGAATAGTGATACATTTATAAACAAATTGAACTCTCAGTTGCATGTGAGCAGAGATGTAGTTCCCTGGCCTTCCTTCTGTCCTGCATAGTGGTTGCACTGCTGGATGTGCGAACTGCACCTGAAGATCAAGTCCTTGTGAGTTCTGGAGTCCAGACAACCTGTGATCTATTCAGTCTGATGCCAGGCATCAAATGGGAAGCTGGCAATAAATTTTGTGATGGAAAATGACATAAAAATGTTTTTCCCATTTTGTTTAGGCACCTTTTGGATGAACCCTCAGTATTGGCTGAATGTTTTACCAGTTGAAGACAGTAAGAAAAGCCTGGGTTCCTGCAGTGTGGTTATATCCCTGATGCAGAAACACAGCAGCAAACACAGGAACCGAGCGCCCCACCTCTTCATTGGGTTTTCACTCTACAAGGTGTGAAGAATTGCTTTGCCTTTCTTGCTTTCACCACATAGGAAAAATTCCAGCCCCTGTAAATTGTACAGCTTTGCAAACCAGGAGTTCTGTTGTGTGCAGGGTGGTCTCTGCTCTTCTTGCCTGTACCCAGTCTTCTCACACAGCAGGGCTAGGCTCCTACAGGCTCTGTGCCTTACTTGCTGTCTCTCTGGCATGCTGTGTGTCAGCCTGCAGAGCAGAGAGAAGTGCCTGTTGCTTCAGAGCACACTGGGCTTTATTTTGCCCTCTCTGAGAGCATGTGTAAACCCTAGAAGAGGGTGCCAGAAGTCCCCTTACTTTGGGGCAGGGAGAGTGCTGCTCTCTGGTTATATCCAGCCTTGTGTTTGGGAAGTATTCCTAGCGTGGGGTGGCAGCTGCCCATGTGTGAATGCTGCTAGTAAGGGTAAGTGGGTATCACTAGAAGGAGTGAGAGTTTTCCCCCTCCCTCAGCTCTCTGCTTATCTGAGTGCCTTGCAGAGCCACTCTTCTCCCTTGGACAGAGCCACAACTCTTGTTGCTGCAGTGAGTTTGCGCAGTTACAGAGAGATGGCTGTGGGGAAGGTTTTTCAGGTTGAGGGGCTGATGTTTCTGAAGGCAAAGACCCCAGCTGGACATACATAACTGCTTCCCAGCAATGACATGGCTATGTTGTATGAGACCCAGAGATTCCTGTCTGACAGATGCTATTTCTTTTCTTCCTGCAGGTGGACCTACAGGTGAGTCCCTTGTCACCACTGCTGGCTGTTTGCAGGGGGACCTGGGCTGGTACAGCTGTTATGACAACACTGAAGGTGGTGTGTTAGCCTTTGTTCCTTGGCTGACAGCTAGTAACAGTGTATTTGAATTCAGTAAGGCACCACGGTAAGTCACTATTAATGCAGAGCTATCCACTGACTCTTCTGAAAAGCAGCTGTATCAGCAGGGCTCAGTGCCCTTAAAAGGGGGCATTAATAGTTCAGCTTCTGCACTGGGCCTTCAAAGGTATTACAAGCAGCATCAGTGTTTACCTGATCAGCACTTTGTCCATGCTGCACTTGTGGGATGGTCTCTTGACCATTTCTTGACTATGTCTAAACTGGACTCACTGCAGCTCTCAGGGGAGCCAGAGTTACTTTTTTGCTGCCTCTCAGTCTTGGGATGAAGTGTGAACAGAACCTGTGTCCCATGCAAGTCAGGGATCTCTTGGGGAGCCCAAGTTCCTTCCTGGTTGGGGATGCTCTGGAGCTGATGCTGCAGGTGTTTTCAGCTTCCTTTGGCCAGATGTATTTCTAGAATTTTCTTTAGCCAGAAGCCTTTGGGACCTGAAGAAGGGCTCTGGAACTTAAACCCTGATGTAAGTCCCAATTTTGGCCTTGACTTCAGAGGGCTATTAAAAACAAGGAAAGGTTTAGCTCTTGTTATCTGGAAAGGGCATACCTTCCACTCTGTTACCACTCCGAACACTGTTTACATGAGAGTCCCTTTGAATTCAAGGTGGCAAAGAACTACTTTGGGTGTATGGTCAGGGCAGCACAATTGTGTTCCCACTTACTGTATTTGCAGCATGGTAACCATGAGGTAAGATGCCACTCCTTCCTGACTTAAATATTTTGGGCACTATCGGGGTTACAAATGAGTTAAACTTCCTGGCAGAGGGGTTCTGAGTGTAGCCCTAGCACACTGCTGTGCCACACCTTGGTGTCAGACTTCAGTTTCATGTTTGTAGCAGTTGCCAAGATCAATATAGAGAGATGACAAGCTGAGAGCATATAAGATATTGGAACTACAGTCAACAAAGCATTGACTGGAATATAACAACTTTGAATTTAACATAAGGGGCATGAGGAGGAGTAACCCTGAACCCTTCAGAAGAAAGATTGTTCTATTAGCAAGAAAAATACTGGCAAAAGAAAGGGGAACAGCATCTCCACTATGAGGCTGTGGAGTAAAATGGCTAAATGTTCTGAGGAGCAGCCAAGATCAGAAGGGGACAGTGGTTTTAGGTAGCAGGATTAATTATTTGGTTTGTGTACTGGGCACTCCATGGCATTAAAAATGAGTTCAGAGTTGCCTAGATTAACATTTTATCCATCCTCCTACTGCAGCAAAGTGCCTGCAGAACAAAACATCTGTAAATGCTAAGAGTGCCAGGCAGATCAAGAACACGTGCATGGAGTCAGAGGTAGGAATTAGGATGGCCCTGCATTACGTTCAGATCACAGGTGCTCTGAAAAATCCTCTACTACCAGATCCCTAGTATAAAGGGCAAGCTGGGGAAAAAGTCCATGGTACCTATTGGGTAGGAAAGATGTCCTGGTTAGTGAAGAGCAATCTCTAGAGCAGCTCCTGCCTGCAGTCATTTCTGCAAGTATGGAAATTACTTTTGCAGTAGCCACTTTGACAGGAGCCACTTCTCCTCCCCAGTCCTTGCTGCTGTTCCTTTCAAGTGCTACTAAGTTGATAAGGTTGCAGGAAGCCCATTCTTTGTCATATTAGCATTGGGCAGGGGTGGTGTATAGTGAGAATCACCATGTCCTGGAAGGAGACTAAGTCCTTTGGGCCCTGTTACCTGCTTGTGCTGTAAAAATATCCAAGGTGTGAAGGCAGGCTGTCTATGCCATGCCTGTGAGCTCCCCACCTGCGTTTTGTCCATTTGTTTGGCTGGGGTAGAACACATTTCTGTATCTTCCCTTAACAGTACCAAGAAAGCAACAGAAAGCTGCCCCCAGCATTCTTCACCCAACATCAGCCTGTGAACAAGCACCAGGTCTTCCTTGATGTGCGAGAGGTGACTCATGACTTCCACCTGGAGCCTTGTGTCTATGTGATTGTCCCATCCACCCTGGAGCCTCAGCAGGAGGCTGAATTCATCCTGCGGGTCTTCTCCAGGAAGCACGTTCTTCGGTGAGATGCTGCTGCTCCTCTGCTAGTACCTGTTTCTCTGGGATGGTGGGATGGTCTGGTCTTTCTAGTCTCATGGATGCAACATAAAGATTTTACTCTGCAAAAAAAGCAGCAGAATCTCTTTTGGAGAGAATGGTTGTGGGTTTCTTCTACTTTAGGATTCTCAATGGCTGAAGCACTGCTTTTGGCTTCATCCTTTCAAGTCGTATTGGGCTAGACTCACAGAAAGGATTCTTGCAGCATGCTTATGTTTGAGAATGTGTAGAAGGACAAGAGGCTTTTAATGCACCATCAATTTACCAGGAGACCCTGCTGGCAATGCTATGATGGTTGCTTTGGCAGAAATGGTGCTTTGGAGACTTCAAATGCCATCAGGCCTTGGAGAGCCATATGGACATGTGGGCTTCCCTTGCTGCAGCTGTAACACTAGGAAAAAATACATGCTGCAGCAGGAGGTTGTGGTCTCATCTGGGAATGGGGGATGCCACATGCGATGAGACAAACACACAGCTCTGGGATGTCTCCTTAATGTGTCTGCTTTTTTGCATCTCCAGGGAAATGGGTGGCAACACCAGTTTCACCCTATCTAAGGTGAGTATGAGAGGTGTGGGAGGTCCGTGCTTTGGTCTTCAGTTCCGAATGTTGGGTTTTTCCTGTTGCTTTGCCCTGTGGAGACGCTGAGTGAGAATGGGTGTTCTTGTGTTGTAGCACTTCTTGTAGCACAGCTTGGGTTTACAGGCAGAGTCCCCTGGACCCTGTGCACAGATGCAGTCAAATGGGATGGGCAAATTTTTCAACACCTTAGTTGTCTTTTTGCAAACTTCTTTTTGTGACATCATTATTTTTCTTATTTGCTTCTCTTATCTTCCTGTATAAAGGACAGAGACCATTCCCTTTCTTGGCATGGAATGAGCCCCATCCTTTGTTGTTGAACAGCTTGGGGGGAAGGAAATATTTTTCCTCACCCTAGTGTTACCTGAGTGTTTCTTTCCAAAAATAACATTTCTAGGGGGTGGGAGCTATCTTAGCAGTGATGTAGCATTGCTTGCAGTAGTGGGGAGAAGGTGGAAAGGTAGAGGACAAGAGTGCAGTTCTGGGAAAGCATCTTTAGCAATGGTCTTTGGCAATGTTCTTCCTTGACTTAATGATATTTTTAATTTATTTTTTTTTTAATATCTTAAAGGAAATTGTAGATAGGTATGAGGGCAAGATCTGGGAGGATTTCTTCACAAAATATTTTGAACAGGTAAGTGTGTGCTTGAGCTCCCAGAGTAAACTCCTCCAGAGCTATTATATAGCTCTGTGAAAGTAAAAGGACATGGATGTTCACAGGAGGTCTGGATGTGGAAGTGTGTAAAGCAGAGGGGCCACATGAGGTTGGGCTGTGTGTCCAGTGACTGTGAAGCTTAGCAGTGTTAGCATTGAAACAGGTATCCTTCTCTCCACAACTGAGTGCAAATGCTTGGAACTTAACACCACAGGACATTGTGGATGCGATGACAGTATCAACAGGCTGAAAAGGTATTAGCAAAATGATGGGCATCGGTTGCATAAACAGATACTAAAGGACTAGGCAGGGATGTACCCTCTAAGATCCCTTTTCCAACAGGTGTGGGTGCCTGGGAAACAGGAGAATGAACTGCAGAAGCTGGCCAGGCTCACGTGCTCTTCCTCAACATTAATCCCTATTGCCTGCACTGGGGATAATAAAATGGTGGGATGCAGGGTTCCATCCTATCCTTTAGGGTATTCTTAGACTCACTGGGGAAAGTATCCTGTTAGAGAAATATTGGCACTCGTCTCACACATGCTTCAACACAGTTTGATGGTAGCTAACTTGCTTGGAGAGGTGAAGTAGGTATCCCATCCCCTCCCTTTTTCACTAACTTTCCTAGTGAATATGATTCTTATTGTGAAAGATTCTTTTGAATGATCTCTCTGTCCTGATTTGGGATGGAGTTGATCTTCAGGAATCTCACTAGCTGACAAAGGATGCAAGGGTTTCACCTTTCGGAAGGGGTTTATTTAGCAACGTACCCTGTATTTGGCAAACACAATTTCATAAAAACACATTGGCTCTTTGGATAGCAATATTTTGACTATGTAAATGTTGAGCAATATTTAGCTGTTACTAAAAACAAGCAATGCTTTTACTTTTGGCCACTTGTGTAAGATTTTCATTTTGAGAACAGCATGGCTTCCAGACATGCTGGAAATTGCCATGTATTGTGAAGTGCTGGTCCTTTGCTTCAGGAGGTCCAAGTACACACAGAGGCAAGTTCTGCCATTTCTTAATGCATTACCTTGGCATGGCTCCATAATCTGAAAATGGGCTTTTATTTGGAAGAGTGACATTTAAAAAAGCATCCTCCAAAGAAACAAATGTCACAGCTCCTAAAAAATCTGTAAACTTTAGTATAACAAGGAGGAGAGGAAGTTTCTGCTTTGAAAAAGTTTGGGAAGAAAGTATTCCAAACTTTCCATCTTTTTTTTTGTTTGTTTGTAAATGATAAAAGGGAAATATTTGAAGCAGGTCTCTTGACAGTGTGCTTGATGGGACAGATGGCACCAGGGCTGAAAGGTTAACAGCCTGAATCCTCACTCAGCATAAATCTACACTACTGTATTGATCTGTGCAGAGCCCTGAGAACTTAGCCCAGAGCAGACTGCAGCCCTTGCAGGCTGAGAATCTTGTCATATTCAAAGGGAGTCTTTTCTATTGATTTTCACAGTGGCTGGAGTGGGGCCAAAAAAGCAGAGAATGAAGATGGGACATGCTGGGAAAACAGAAGAGGGAGAAAGGTGATTTAATACTTTATAAAAAAAAAAAAAATTAAAATTATCTTCTGTGTCACAGAATCCTGAAATAAATGCTGTTCAGCTCCAGAGGATCCTGAATAATATATCTTGGAGAAGTAAGTACTGAAAAAGAATGTTTCTGTGAAATAAACCCTCTTAGAGAAAAGCCTCAGCTTCTGTATCTGTTTCTTGAATTCTGGGAAGAGAAATTGGCTTCAGTCTGACTGAACTGACTCTTCTGACACCATGTTTGATTTCCAGAAAGGATTTGCTGGGGTATGAATTGATGTGGTAGAAGTTTTCTAGGTGAAGCTAATCTGGTTTGAATTTCAACAACTGAAAGAATGAGGGGGAAGAGCAAGCGTAGATACTGTGTGTGAATGCCAAGTCTGAATTGGACCTCCAAGCCCAGCTTAATCTCAGCCTTGATTCTGAACTACCATATTTCACCCCATGCCACTTGCCACAGTCTTGGCAGCACCACTGCTACAGGGTGTAGAAAGTCAGCCTGCTCTGTAGGCAGTTATGCAGTGGAAGGGGGATGTGCCTGGTTCATGCCTGCTGTTCTTACTTACTCTTCCCTACTGTGCATGCATAGGGCTGTTTTCTTGCTCTGTTTGTGTTTGGGAAACAGGATGGAGGTACAGGTAGCCTGCGTAACTTGCACTTTCGAGAACCAGGTGAGCCCTGAGGTTGTCTCTCTTGCAAAGCCTCTGACATCCACTATGCCAGTGGCAGCCTAGAGTATTCCATAAACTCATAATTTGGTCCCTGGTTATAAATAAAGCTACCTGGCAGCAGCAAGGTATCGCAGGGGCTGTTTTCTCTGAAAAGTGATAACAAAGCTACAGATATAATGATGAATACAATTTTCCTTCCCAGTTTCTTCACTGATAACAACCAATGTGCATCAGAAAATACACCATCCAGCCGTTATAGGCAACAAAAAAAGAAAAACAAAAGACTTATGTGATGCCTTTTCCACTTAAGCTGAATTTGACACTGCTCCCTTTTCCAAAAAGGTGGACAAAGATAGCTCTTCTGTCTTTCCAAAGTGACCCGCCAGGCGCTGTCTTATCTGTGAGAAGACTATGTTAAACAGTCTTCATTTTTCATAAGTGATCAATATGGAGACATTAATTTAAAAACCTTACAGTACTTGATTCATACTTACTAAACAGGGCGATTACAAGATTAAAACATCTTCACTTTCTGCAGCGAAGGGGTTGGTGAGTTATGGTTCTGTCCCTTGCTCAGTGGAAGTCCACAGACAATCTATAATCATGATTTGCAGTGAGATTAAAGTCTATTTCTGTTACTCTTTGTGTAATTTATGTATGAACTGGGAATGCTAAGCTTTGGTGCAGCATCATGTTTTCAGTGATGCCTGTACTTTTAATTATATTAACAAAGCTGGCAGTGTGTCTGTGAAAGAGAGAGATGGAGATGATTAGCACAAGGGTTTCAATCTGCAGTGCTGCTTCCCACCGCTCTTCAGGTCAAGCGACTTTGCTCAAGGTCATGCAGTAAATTCTGTTTGGGATTACAGCTTCGGATGTCCCTTTCCTTCCATTTTCTCTAATAGCTGGAGATAGTGGACCATATTTCATTCTGTATTACATGCCTGCAGGGAGCTCATATTGGATTTTCTGCGACTAGTAGAATCCATCCTGTAGCCTCATATTTTTATCATCATAAATGATACATCTTCTCAAGTGGGTGTAAAGTTTCACAAAGGCTTTGGGGCCTGAGCCCTCTCAAGTGAGGGTGGATTTTGTCAGAGTCCATTTTTCTGAGAGATGTTCAATGACTCTTCAAAACAATTTTTCTTTCTTCTTTCTCTCCAGATTTCCAGGGTTTTCACCTGAGTTTCAGTCTGGATGCCTGCCAGGGTATCTTGGCGCTCCTGGATGTATCCTTGGTATGAGTGATGTTTTTCTGGAGCATTATTTATTAGGGCAGACTGGGTGTTACTGTAATTTCTTTACCACCAGGACACAGCCTTTGCACTTCTCACCCTCCATAATAACAGTTCAGCTGTAACAGAATGGAATTGGTTTGGGAAATGGTTGATTCCTGCTGCCTCTGAAATCAGCAGGCAGTATCTGAAGGGGGCCTATAAAGGGTGCTGGAAAGGGACTGTTCATCAGGGACTGTAGTAATAGGACAAGGGATAATGGTTCAAAATTAAACAGGGGAAGTTTAGGTTAAATATAAGGAGGAAGTTCTTTACTGTGAGGGTGGTGAGGCCCTGGAACAGATTGCCCAAGAGTTGTGAATGCTCCATCCCTGGCAGTGTTCAAGGCCAGGCTGGATGTAGTCTTGGATGACATGGTTTGGTGTGTGGTGTCACTGCCCATGGCAGGGGGGTTGGAACTTGATGATCTAAAGGTCCTTTCCAACCCAAACCTTTCTATGATTCTATGAATTTAGTGGGGGGAGGATCAAGCCTATAGATAGGCCTTATGGGTTAAGAAATCATTATCCTCATATTATAATTGTGTGACTGTTAGAGTGTCCATGAGGGTTTGGTTTGTTTGGGGTTTTTATGTAATGGATGTTCTCTGATATTTAGTTGGGATGTTCTGACCTTAATTCTCCCCCAAAGCTGAACACCTCTGGCACGCTGAGTATCCAGGAATTCAGAGTCCTGTGGAAAAGGCTGCTTTTCTATTTGGTATAACAATAATTTCTGTGGCCCCTTTCTGTATCTCCTTGCTCACAGTCCCTTTGGTGTCATTTGTCATTTTGGGGGAGTTTGTTTTGTTTAAAAATACTCCTCTCACCAGGAAGTGTTCCAGAAAAGAGATACTAGCAGATCAGGAAAGCTTGACCTTGCGGAACTGCATGCAGCTGTACAGGAGACAGGTGAGCCCACAGCACACCTTGGCAAGTCCTCTTCCTCAGGAAGGCTAGAAAAAGCCTAGGGCTAGGAAACATCTTGAGAATTGTAGGTAGAGCCCAGGAGGAGGGGAAAACACCATAGGCTGCACGGTTTTAGCCATCTCTGCTTCCCTCTTTAGCTGTGTAAACTCATCTGAAACTTACTTTGCTGTGGGATGGGTGACTTAATTTTTGCCCCAGTGTGGTCTCATATAGATAGTTCTCTGAAACAGAAGTGTCTATTTTAGACCCAGTTTTTAAATCCCTTCCTGTTCATTGCTAATTTAATTGTAAAGGACTGTGTGGGGTTGTGTGGATACAGGAGGCCAGATCTAGCTCATATTAAATTGCTACCTCTGCTGAAGCTGACAGCTCAGGGATTGAACCTGTAAGTGTGGGACTTGCACAGAGGCAATACTGGTGCCTGACTTCACTAATATAATGTCTGAAGCTTGATCTAGAAATGGAGTACAATACATATGGATCCAAATACTGGACTAAGCTCTGTTGCTCTCACTGGGCTTTGAGTGGGGGCTGATGCTCAGTCTTGTAGCTTCATTGAATGTGTACAGCTTAAATATCACTGTTCTTTTTGGTGAGTGGTTCACCCAGTACTTCTGAGTCAGTGCAAACACAGTGAGAAACCCAGGGAGACCTCTGGTAAAGCAAACTAAAATCCCAGGCCATGAATAGAAAATACTTCTATTCCTTGCAAATGCTGCTTGACATTGGGACTGATACTTTCTTATGAGCTTCCTCTGTATTTTATTTTTCATCTTCTTTCTTATCCTTTTGTGGAGTATTGCTCTTAAACACAGCTGCTGTTACTCCCTCATACCTCTTGAGCAAAGGGTGCCCATGTGTATTTTATTTCAACTCTGGCCAACTTCCTCTGTGAGAGCATCAAATCTGAACCCTTACAGATTTGAAGGAGATGTAATCTCTGTATAATGGCCCGTTTGGGCTGTTGATATTTGACTATCGTAGGGGAGGTCTGCAAAAACAAGCTGTTGGAGAAGGGCTGAAGACCTCTCAGTTGTGCACCCTCACAGCTCTGTGCATACCCATAGCTGTGCACATTTGTAGAATCATAGGTTGCTTTGGGCTGGAATGATCATCATTCAGCTGGGTACAGCTGAGACTTGCTATCTCATTCTGTTCTCACCCCCAACTCCCCCTTTTTTTTTTCTCCCTTTTATGAAGGTATTTCTCTCAGCAATGAAGTCTGTAATTTGATGGCAATCAGATATGGTGACCCTGACTTAAAGATCCGCTTTGAGAGCTTTGTGTGCTTCATGCTTCGAGTGGAGATCGTGGGAGGTGAGGTTGGAGCTATGTGGTTGGCCAGGCAAGCCAGGCTGCCCAGCTAAGCCCTGGCTGTTCTGGCACTGCTCCATCTGGCAGTGGCAAGTTCAAAATAAGGACTGGGTTTCTGAATAGACCAAGAGCAAGCAATTAAAAGCAAGGGACAGATACAGAGAAAATCAAGCACTCTTTTTTATCTTTCCACCAGTCACTTTCTACAGACAGTCAGGCCGTACATATCAAAGTGGTATAGTTCCCTGCAGGTTTGCACCAGCCTTTTGTAGGAGGAGGTAGGTGAATTACAGATGGAGACTCCTCATTCTCCAGGAAGAACAGAACCTTAGAATATACCTGTGGTAGGACTGCAGTTATGATGAGACAGCTGTTATTCAGTCTGTGAGCTCATGTTGTAGACACTTTGTACATGTCTCAGTGCTGTAGAGGATGAGGTTTGGGCCACATGCTTTTCAAGGTCTAACAGTTGAATGGACAGACAGTAACATGGCTGACTTTGTCCAGCTGCTCTCTGTGTCCCAGCCTTCAGGGTTGTTCAAGTGACAGACCAGAGAAGCTCACATACACTCCCAAATAGCTTCTGAACTATGCCTTTGAGGCTTTTCCTGAGACAGAGTCTTGGCTGGTGTTGATCTCTTGGATATCAAGTTAATGCTCCTCATTTATTTCTTTTGCAGAGGCCTTTCGTAACTTAACACAAGATGGCAAAGGGATTTATCTCCAGGAATCCGAGGTAAAGCCTGTTCCCAGACTGTCAAATGCAGACTTCTTCATGGCAAGTGGTGCAGTGCATGTTTTATGTTGTAGCATTAACAAAAGGTATCTTTACCTAATCTCTTACAGAGAAGGTTACAAAGAAGGAGGTTCAGGCTTCCAACTCTTCTGCCTTATTCTGGCTTCTGCTCCTTCTGGAGACAGTTCTCTAATGCCCCATAGTCCAGTTCACTTGTGAATATTGCAGAGCTCTCATAGAGATCAATGAGTTCAACCCACTTTTCCCATTATTTTACAGTGGATGATGATGACACTGTATTCTTGAAGCAATGCTGTAGGTGAGGGGACGACTAAGCCTGTACCAGGATGAGGAAGGCTGCTTTGTATCAACTTCCTGTACACTCTGGCTCAGCCCTGCAATTTACCATTTATGAAGAGTCTTCCCCTCAAGCAGACTTGACTCAATAACCACAGACTTGGTGAACTGGAGTTTTGCTAGTTAATGTATTTATTTTGAGTCCTATTTCACTTCAGACAACCCATCTGAGAACAGGCTGCTGGATGCCAACCACTGTGAGTGCACAGTGTGACACTATGGAGTATAGTGGCTGAGTTGCTGTGCTTGGTGCTGGGGTTCTTGTACCTGGGAGAGAAACAGCTCCTGCCGCGAGTGGCTTGTCGCCTAACAGAGGAAATCCCAGTTCTGCAGCTGCTAAATCCATGGCGGAGGGCAGGAGTCTGTGTGCTTGTGAGGAAGAAGGGGTGGGAACTCTTCGAATGAATGCTCTTCCCTAACCATGACTTGGAAAAGGGGTTTGCAAGCATTCAAACCATCTCTTTTGCCTTTAGAAGTCAACATAGTTCTATTAAAGTGAAACTAAGTTGATTTGACCAAGCGATGAGCCAGGCCTCCAGCTCTTTGTTGTAGATGGAGGCTGTGATGTTTGCATATTTATCTCAGAAAGGCAGTGGGTTCTCTGTGCAGATTGAAAAGTACAGGATCGTGAGAAGTCAACTGATCCCATATTGTCTTTAAGTCACCAGGGATTGGCAGGGAGTAGATGTTCTCTGTAGCATGATGCAGGAGCAGTCTGGTAAAACATTTGGATATTTGTCAGTTACTTCTTATAAAGCAGAATGAGAGAGATAGTGTGTGTGCACGCGTGCATGTATGTGTACTTTTAAGTGATGCAGCCACATATGTAGGTCATAGCTAATTAAATAGTGGAAACTGGCTATGTAGCTGTGAACAGCGTTAGAGAACATGTAAGTAGGACTATTCACATCAAACTCCATGCTGGAGTTGCCTGATGCATCTGTCTGGGGGATCCTTTTTCACTTTCTTACCATTTATTTATCTTTGCTGGAAATTTCCACACTGAGTGCCTATTACAGGCTTTTTTTCCCCTTTGTTCCTGCAGACAGCACTATTGTGGCTCTTTTCCAGAGCACAGCTTAGTCTGGGCGCTGAATGAAACAGAGCTCCAGTGGAAATGAGCATATAATGAAAGACCATACTCTAATGCCTTTGTAGGAAGGAGTTACATTAAGCTTGCATAGGCAGCTTTCCCTCTGGCCTTTTGTGACTTTTAAGGTGCTTAATCTCATAAATGTCCTTTGAGAGTGTATATGAGATTCAGGAGTGAGGTGGACTGTGGATAAGAATGTAAACACAAGCAAAAGGCTGAACTTGGCTGTGTGCTTACTGCTGCACTGAAGCCTATGCAGCAGCATAAGCATATTTAGACAGGAACCCCATTGCGTGTAAGTGTTCCTAGTCAGGAGGCATTAAACAGTAAAAACAACAGTGTGCACTTTATTCCCCAGAGCAGTCTGTTTCTAAACAGTATCATTCTCATTCTGTTTTTATGAGAAAACTGTTAGAACCAGACAAATAGATAGCTGTGTTTGGACTTTTTTATTACAGATGATATATCTATCATCTATTGTGCTTGGCCTGCTGTGGTGTCACTGGAGCCAAAGGGTTCAGATCTGGGAAACAGAGCAGGTTGGAGGGAGCAGGGACACCCAGAGCCCTTGAGCAGCGGTGTCGTGGTGCTGCTGTCCTGCTGGGCTGCCGAAGAGGCTCAGTTAGCAGCTCCCATCGCAAAGCACATGCCTTCTCCCAACTGTCATGCCTCTGTTTCCTTTTGTGGCTCGCAGCTGAACACGGTGGTGCAAGCTAAATTAGCCTGATTTAATTTGCACCCAGCTCAGTGGGGGATGTTATAAACACTGATTTACTGTGTGCAGGAGCAGCACTGGAGGAACCAGAAAGGTTGATTGAGGGAGCGTAGGCCTTGCGCTTCAGCACACTCCAAAAAAGATGGTCCCTGGCACCCACGGGGATGGCCAGGGGGTTTTGTGTGAGTGCAGAGTGTTCACAGCAGGACTCTGTTGGATGTGAAGGGATGGAAACCTATCAGTCCCAACTGGGTTTGTTGCACAATGTGTGTAATCAGCTGAGCAAGAGTCATGTAAGGCTGGGAGTAGCTCTGCCACAGGCTGTGAGCAAAACTGTGGTGCAGGACACCCAGTTTCAAATTGCAGTTCATTAATAATGTTGTACATATTTTATTTTTTTTTTCAAATCAGATTTTGTAGTTATTTACTTCACACCTCTTTAATGCAGAGCAATGTAATTGCAGGCAGATTATTTTGCTATTGATTACTTGATCCAGGAAAGAAACAGAATTCATCCATGCCATGAATCACTAAGCATTTGCAGCAATAAACTTTATTGAGCCATGTGACTTGCTGTTACAGAATTGTAAAGAATGCTTTACTGGAATGATCAGACCAAACTGTGTACAATTCAAACTGAATTATTTGGCTCACAATAAAATGTTTTTGGCAAGGGCACCTACTCGGACACTGTGAGACTTTTATATTGCTATCAGAATAACGTTTTCTGGGCAATTCTGAAGATGTATTACTCCTCATTTACAACGTGCATTGTGGAAAAAATGGTCTAAAAGGGTGCTGAAGGAGGCATTTGTTTGTATCCACAGTGTTTATAGAGATGCTGAGCTTTGCAGTGGGTGGTATTGCTCTAGGAGAAATGAAAGAGAAGCGGGGCTGCAGCTTGAGACTAGTGTTGCTAATAAAGGTCGTTTTTGGAAAAGGCAGGTGCAAATAACAAGAACAGCAAATAATGGCTCGAATGAGAAGGGGAGCTGGATGATGAGGTATACTGTAACAGTAAGACTGAGGTGAAATTGAAAGGAACTGATCAAACCTTTGCAAACAAAATGTTCAGCTAGAGCTTATTGCCACAAGATACACACACACACAACTGGAATTATTTCATTTTTCCTGGATGAAGTTGGTGCACACGTTTAGTTTGCAGTCAGGGTACAGCAGGTGCCTGTCGGCCTCACTGCGTGCATTCTGCATGGTCAGGATTTCTGTCCAGATGGCAAGAGGACAGGCTCTGCTCTCAAGCTTCACAGGATTCAAAAAGGGTCTAAGACTTAAAGGAATGACAAGCACGGCTGGAGTGCTCACGGCCTCAGGTAAGAGCTGTGTCAGAGACCTGACATCTGGCTTCAGGTAAAAAGGGAAGAGCTGTCCCCTGGGGACAAATTACCCCAAGATAAGTCATCCAAATCAAGATGATGGGGTTCTTGCCTTTGGACAGGTAGGGATGACCACCTTTGGAGAGATACCAACCTGGTCCAGGTTTCAGATGAGCATTTCTGCCTATCTGTATATTTCTTTCTGGGCAGTCAATTAAAATTTGAAGGCCTATGTACTGTTGAGACACTGAAGTATAGTTCTCTGTCTGAAGTCATATCTCTTCACCAATTTTACAGTGGGCCCAGCAAGACTCCTGCCTTCCCTAAGAGCACATTCCAGTTCTTTGCAGAGAGGTGTTACATTCATATAAGTGGCTACTGCACAAAGCAGTGTCAGGGCTGGCCAAGCTGTGCCAGTGGACTTTGACCATATCATGAGATTCTCCATGTAGAATGAATAATGTTGCTTTGTTTTTAATTATTAAGCAGTATGTGTGATCCTAACTCCATGACCCAGAAAAAGGACCTCTAAAGGGCAAGTTTTCATTGCACTGGAGCCCTAAAAATGAGGACTCTGAAGCTTTTGGAAGGAAAAGCCTGTTTCCCAGGGCAGGCAGCATCCAGAGGCTGGCCACTGAGCAGAGTGGGTGCAAGGTGTCACAGTGGCGCAGACCTTTGCACAGGGCAGCGATGGGAATCAAGAGACAACATGGGAACATGGAGTTAAAACCACTGCCAAATCCAGGTGTCCACCAAAGAGTCCTCGCTCACATCCTTTCTAGTCCTGCAACCCACCAGGAGGCTCAATTCAAATCAATGGAATTTCAAAATTTGGAGACCTTAAGTGTTTCTATTTCCTTTGTGAGCTTTTCAGGCCAATGTTTCAAGCTTTCTGCCCCAACACAGAGGCCTACGGACACTTTTCTCCCAGTGTTAGTCCTGCTGGCCTCTGGCTGAACACAACCCTGTGCTCCAATGAGGAAGAGTGAAAAGTTGGAGGTTCCCACAGGTATGATTTTTACATCTAGATTCAGAAAAGTTAAGGGCAAAAATCCCCTTTGTTATTAGTACAGTGCCACAGTGTTGAGGGGAGGAAGATCAGGTCCCCATGGTGTTGGCTGCTGTGTGACCTGCAAGCAGGACTTGCCACTTGCCATCTACTTGGAAAAAGAAGTATTTCTTGCAGTGACCAGAAGGTTGAGGGCCTTTTTACAAGGGCCTGTAGGGATAAGGCAAGGGGAAATGGTTTTGAACTGACAGAGAGGAGATTTAGATGAGACATTAGGAAAAAAATCTTCCCTGTGAGGGTGCTGAGGCACTGGCACAGGTTGCCCAGAGAAGCTGTGGCTGCCCCATCCCTGGCAGTGTTCAAGGCCAGGCTGGACGGGGCTTGGAGCAGCCTGGTCTAGCGGAAGGTGTCCCTGCCTGTGGCAGGGGGTTGAAATGGATGAGCTTTAAGGTCTTTTCCAACCCAAACTGTTCTGTGATTCTGCAGTGCCTGAGGGGAGTGATCTGTCTATGTTCAGCCTGGGGCTCTGTAGTCAAGACTTGACCTGGATCTCAGTCTCCTGAAGCCCAGTCCAGCAGCTCCTCTTTCCTTTGTGCACCAAAGCAATGCTGCTCTATAATCCCTATCCTGCTGTAAGCCAGATTTTTCCCATAAGCCATGTTTCTTTCTCACTGACATCCAGGAGCTTCAGTTATGATCCCATCCCAAGGTTGGGATGGCTTGGCAAAAGGCCAGCAATCACTGAGTAGTTCTTGAGCACCTCACTGTCTGCACGCAAGCCCCTGCACATACCCCTGCACCCTGTGTCACCTTCCTCAAGAATAGTTGCAATGCTGTGCTGAAAAAGAAGAGGGAAAAAAGATGATCTTTTGTTCTCCCTGAGCAGCTCCTTGCAGAATGAAATGCTAACGAGTGCCTTTGCCTTTCCTTCCTGCTGTGTCTTACACTGGATTAGACCTGAAAAGCAGTATCACCAAGCTTGAAGTTCAATTTATCAGTGCAGTCAGGATTGATTTGTTACACTACCTATTCTGGGGAAATGAATGTCTCCATCGCACTCCCTTCCAATGCAGGCAGACCTTTGTTTTGCTCAGATCAGCCATGTAATGTAGGAAGCTGACATGTCACAGATAAAGGAAAAAACCTACGAAATCCTGACTAATTCTACCCAGCCTTGTGGTGCCAGAGACAGATGCCACTTGTAAAGCACCTGCCTGGTATTACAGTGGCTGAAGATACCAGGCAGAAGTGCTTTCTGCCTGAGCTTATCTCCAACTTTTGTTGAGGAAGAGGTGAGAAGTGCCATAGAAAATTATTCTTGGGTGAATGGGGCTTGGAGCAACCTGCTCTAGTGGAAGGTGTCCCTGCCTGTAGCAGGGGCTTGGAACCAGATGAGCTTTAAGGTCTTTTCCAGCACAAACCATTCTGTGATTCTATGAATTACATGTCGCCTTTATTACTATTAATGTTAGAGCTGGATGGTCAGGTTGGTCCTTGGAGCTCAAATTCGCTATAAGAGGCAGAAAGCAAAGTTGGGTTTTGTACAAAGTTTCAGCTGTTTTGTGAGATAAAGGCAATGGACTTGGCTACTGCTGCTGAGGAGGAACATTTTCCCTCATAACCTAGCACAAGGGATCTCTATTAAGAAAGCATGCAATTAAAAAATCCAGTTTTCTCCTGAAGCCCATTTTGATGGAATATTTACCGTGAGCAAATGTGGGAATTATGTTTTCAGATTCAGAAGACCCATGATGTGGATTGCTATGGAGAGTCATATTTTAAAAAGACCCTTTTTTTTTTCTAACAAGCCATGTTTGCATCTCATGGAGGGAAGGGTTAAAAGCTGAGCGCCCTGTGGAAACGTGGAGATCCTCATGCTCCTGCAAATGTAGCTATGAGAAGGGTGTCTGTAGCTGGTGCTTATTAAGCAAGACGAAATGAAAGAGGTAGTTGCTCTAAAGTAGCTTTTTTTCCTCAGGAAGAAGCAGGATTTCTTTGTTATAAATACACTGCAGCTAGACATAAACCACTTATTGCTTGAAAGCAGCTCTGTGCTGCTGAAGAGCTGGAACTCATGAGTGAGAAATTGGGTCTTAAACAACTGGGTGCTTTCAGCCTGGATGCTAGCAGTGGCAATGATGGCTTTTTGCCTGAGCACTATCCCTCCCTTTCCACTGACCCTTTCAAACCCAGTCTCAGCTAGGAATACCACTCCAGAAACCGGGGCCATGCTTGCTCTGTAAGACTCTAGATCCAGCCCCTGTGAGTGTGTTTCCCCTAAAAATGGAGATGATGCAGAGCTTTGGAGCATGCAGCGAGCACACCCCTTCCAGCTACAGAGCATTTTGGACAGAGTAAGTATCTTGAAGGGCTGCATGGCTTTAGGTATGAGATTTTATGTTGCCCCTTCTCTGTAACTTGGGTGTTTATTGTCATCTGTTGTGTTTCCTTTTAAAAGGAAAAAGAAAACAAAACCAACATCACACGCTCTTGCTACGTGCGCCTTAATCTTACACACATCTCAGAAGAGTCATAACCCCAGTCTTAAAATTGTCTCCTACTCTTAGGGCATGGGTGCACATGTACCACAAGATTAAACCTGAAGGGCCAAGGTTTTCTCTGCAATCCCCTGATCAACATTAGCTCCCGTTGTTTGAAGATGTTGGTGGCTGATGTCTGAAGTTGCACAGGACCTGGCTCATGTTGTATTACGTATCCCAGCACTGTGGTCTGACTGCATCCATGAGAGTGGTGGGACAGACCACTGGAAGTCTTATTTTAAGTTGGATCCACGCTTGTCACAGACCCCTTTTCTGAAACCCAGGTGATGCCCGTGCTGAGCACATATGTTGTGGCCAACTTCTACCTACATTGTGCTGCCTGCCTTCTGGTGATAGTGGAGAAATGTGAGCCACGTGATAAGATGCTTGTCCTTGTGGGGACTGTAGAGAACCATGACCCCTGGCCTCACAACACTCATTGGGCAAACACAGAAAACAGAAATAACCCTGAGCATCTCCAAAGTAGTTTGACCCAAAGGGCTCATGGGTTTTTAACAGCTGAGATGAGCACTACTGAGAGCTCAAGTTACACTTCAGCCTGTTTTTTCTACCTGTGCAGGGCACAGCACAGCCTCCATTGTCTGGATCAATGTTTTCCAATGTGCTCAGGTTTTTGAGAGTTTAAACCACTGAGTTTTGGACAGCTAACTATATCAAATGCAAAAAAAGAAATGGATGCTCTATCCAGCTAACACATAGATAACTGAGCACATAAAGAATTTAGGGAATGAATTAACAGAAAAAAATATGCTGCAAGAATAACTTGCTGAGTCCAGTAGAAGGAACCCCTATTTCTACTATAGTCTGCTGGAGCCTTCTCTTCTCCAGGCTGAACAAGCCCAGTTCTCTCAGCCTGTCTCCATAGCAAAGGTGCTCCAGCCCTCACAGCATCTTTGTGGCCTCCTCTGGACTTGCTTCAACAGGTCCATATCTTTCCTGTGCTGAGGGCCCCAGAGCTGAACACAGTACTTTAGAGATGGGGTCTCACCAGAGCAGACTAGAGGAAGGGAATTACTTCCCTTGACCACCTTTTGATGCAGCCCGGGATACACTTCCCACTCTAAGACTTGCCTCTAGTTAGCAGGTTTTTGAGGGCAAAGTCCAGTGAGAAAGTCTCCTGATTTTTGGTAAACCTGTTCTTCTAAGAGGCTGTTCTGGGTGCTGATGCCCTTCCCAGCATGGGCCCAGGAGCTGAGTTAGCTGTTCTGCAGGGGTGAGTGGCAGGGTGAAGGTGCTGCAGCATCAGCTAAAGTGCCTTTCTGCATTTTGTGTAAAGTCAGTGTTTCTCCTGTCCTGGATAACACTGGGTTTGGGATTGCTGCCATGAGGGTCGAGGTTGTCCTGATGTTAACAGGAGGTGATTGCAATGGGATTAACCCTTTCTGCACTGCCCAGGTGTCGGGATGAAAGTACCCCAGTGGTGAGCATGACATGGGGTGGCACAGACAGTGGGAGGTGGGCACACATTGTTTCCATAAGTGACCCAGCTCTTGGGGGCTGTAAGGCTATGCTAGCCTGCCCTGACATCCTATTGCCCCCCTGCTCTAGGCTGCTTCTGGACTACACAGGGCAGAGCCAATCGAGGACCTCGCTCCTCCTTGCATCCAGCACATGGAGGAAGAAAATGAAAGGATCCATTCTTCCAAGCCAGGCTTTTTGTACAGCTCTTCAAACCCAGAAACCACTCCTCTTTCTCCTGTCACTAGATTCAGCTTGCTGAAACAAAGATTAAAAGTCTGAATGCCTGTAAAGATACTTTAACGGCACCTAAAACAGTGTCCCTGGAGAAGATTAACTATCCCCTGTGCTGAGGGGAGTCTAAGCTTTAGCAAAATGGACAGATAAGAAAATCATAGCTAGTCCTGCAAAGATGAATTTGATAGAAGGTGGGCAGATCACAGTGAAGGCATGAGCCTTCTTTGAAGTGTTAGCTTTTATGTATAGCTGAGTTCTAGGTCTTTAGACAAGACTTAATCTTTTCTATAAACAAATAACACATTCATTTACATGAATAATCCACATTTCTTATGCAAATCATTTCCCTGCTGCTTTCCACTGAGAATAATATTTAGTATAATTACCACATTTATTTACTGAATCTATTTACAGAGGGTAGCTCCCTGTCCATGGATGCTCTTCACCAGAGAGGCCCAAAGAGCAACAGGGGAGCCCAAGCTGCCAGTCATGCGCTCCCTCTGCTTTCTATTTTTGTTCCCATAAAGCATTTTGGGACCGGTTGAGATGTCTTGGCAAGAGCAAAAGGATGTCAACATCCTGCCTCTGTCCCAGGGAGAGCACCTGCTGCTAATGGAAGGCAGCTCTCCCCTGCTCACTAGCCTGCTGTTTGAGCTGGAGCTAACTATAATGAGGTAAGGCACTTTGAATAATAACTTTCCTTTGGGTATAAGGCTATCTTAATTTTTTGTGTGTTTAAGTTGGTAATTGCCATAGAGTTTGAAAATCTTCCAGGTTTACCAGTCTTAATTACATTCTCATGCATATGCATCATCTGCTTGTGTGCTCATTACTGTGTGGAGATCAGAACCTGAAACGTTGGAGCACTTTCCTCCAATTATCTCCCATATGCACAATTCCCTGTGAAATACCTTTCCTGCATGGGATAGCCCAAGCTGTTTGGAGCACATCTTGCTGTCCAGAGCACATTTTGCTTTGTGTGGTTAAAGCAAGATGTGTTTCTTTCCTCACGTGCCTCTCCTGTGTTACTCCTACCTGGGACGTCCCTTTGCTTGTAGTACCAGCTACTGCAATGCTTGCTCAAGGGAAGTTATTATGGTGTCCTAATGGAAGATATTTGAACTTTCTAGGACCCTGATTGCCTCTTTACCTGCTCTGTTTGCATCTATTGATCGTTCCGGTTCAAGAAGGGCCTCTGGGACTAACAAATTCTAACAGGTTTGAATGCATTAATGAGGTGTTATGCAGGGAAGGAAGAGTAATGCTGTTGGGCTTCTAACTTGTTCTTGCTCAGTAACAGCAAAACAAATGTGTGCAATTAAACATTACTTTGTTTTCTAAACAGCAGCCTTGAAATTCTGTCCTGCTATGGGGAAATCTAGCTGCTGCTTTGCTTTCTGATCAACAACAGCAGAGATTTGGTGATGGGATGAGATGTTAATCTACCTGAGCACATGCGGGGTAGAATGTTGTTCCCTTGGAGATGAGCAGGATTTGCAGCTTGTGTTCTCATGTAGGCCAGCACAGCGGATCCCATGGGAAGATCCACATGGAGCAAGCATAGACCTTGACATTCTTCACCCTTTCTGCACAGAATAACTATTTGCTTTCACCTGTTTTTCAGGGGGATGTAGGGTTAGCTGTTAGCCCCTTGGGGCTTTAGTTTTGAGAGCAAGAGATTGCCTGATCAAATATAGATCACCCTGTCTTTATACTTCAAGTGTTGGATTGTGTTTGGAAGAAATGTCTATTCCTAGGCACTTCACCTACATAATAGGATTGAGATCTTAAGAAGCTGGGGGAGTGTGGCTCACCCCCTTCAGGTTTTGGATCCCTCAGGAGAGGGGAGGGATGAACAGTCAAAAATTTTTCCTATGGAAAATTTTCCAGGAGGGAGAACAGGGTAAAACTTCTCATCCAGCTGTGAAAATGCTCCTTCCCACAAAACGTCTGGTGCAATATTACATGTTGCCAGCTGTGTTAATAAATGCCTAGACCCCAGTTGGCATCAGGCCATACTTACATATCCCACAAGTAGAGATTTGGCTCTAAAGCCTGCTTAACACCTGCACACAAAAGGACAGAGGCAATAAAGGTGCTTTAAGGACAAAGCTTTATTTTGGCTGGTGTGTTCTCTCACCCGTCACCTGACTTGTTCTTTATTCGGTTGAGTGTGACCTGTCCTAACCACAATTATGGGCTTGAACACATGCAGGGGACATATTCCTGCAGCTGGCCAGCAGGACTGATTTAGCATATGAAGAGTAACAGAAGGGTTTGGTCTGAATTCCAGCAGGTTTCTCCACTTCCTTAGCGACGGATGGGTGTGTGTGCACATGCGTGCATGCACGTAGAGCGCATCTCCTTGGGAGGCAGCTGAGCAGCTCTGCTTCTCCTGTACAGAGATACAGCAGCACTGGGGTTCACTGGGTGCTGAGGCCTGTAGGGTGCCTAGGACCTTATAGACTCAGGTGCTGCTGTTAAAGATTCATCTGTGCTATGTTTGCTGTCAGTCCTTTGCTGTGACTTGACCCATGAAGCTATCTGCTGCCTTTTGTCCCAAGTGCTCTGTTGTGGCCATTTGCAGTGGCTGCCACTGGTTGCTGATGCAGTGACCTGGAGCTAAAGAGCTTCCCCAGCCAAAATGCTCCAAACACATGGGATCAGCAGCCTTCATTTATCCATGGGCTTTTCCCAGAAAATGCCTGTGTTGGAAAGCATCAGGAGAGGCTATCAACCACCAGAGGCAGCTGGAGACAGGACCCAGAAGCCTTAACTCTATTGTGGCAATAAGATGCGTAAAAGCAGGGCTGGTCAAAAGCAAGCAGTGAACAGTACTGACGGTGGTCACAGTGGAAGAGCACTGCTCAAGGGATCTGTTCTTGTGTTCCCTAGTATGTCCTCTAGCCATATACTTAAGTTAATGTGTCTCCCTTTGTATCTCCCATTGCTCTGGCTGTTGTTCCCACACCTGCTTGTACTGGCACTGTTGGGTACCTGGAAATGCTGGGAGATAGCGAAAAGGCAGAATCTAATCCAGAAAAACCTGTGCTGCAGCAAATGGAGATGAAGGCTGGGGAGAAGGTGAATTAAACACAAGTGCAAGTGGGTGGCAGTTGCTAAAGATGCAAGATGTAATGCCTTGTGATAGGCAACAATTCCTCCTGCCCTCACCCAGTCTGACTATGGAGAAGTCTTTGTGTTTGTCCCAGTGGTGAGTGAGCTCAGCACTGCTTCATCCATTGGTGCCACACCAGCTAGGCTGAAGGTGGGAGCCTGACTTCCAGGAGCTGCAGGCGAACATCTGGGTCTGTGCTGGTGCCCATCTACCGAAGGAACAGCTTGTCTTCCTGCAGCTGACTCGATGGGAACTTCAATTAACAAATGCTATTAAAGTAGCTCTCCTCTTTATTTTATTTTCTTATGCATAACATTTCCCATCAGCTTAAACCTTTAATTAACTGGAGATGTCATCATGGAAAGTTTGCTAGGGAGCAACCCTTGCAGTTTAATTAAAAAGAAAACAAGCCCTTTGCAGCTCCTGAAAAAGATCTGATTGCAACCCCAGAAGTGGCCACAATCCTGCAGGAATTCCTCCTTTTCCCTTTCTAATTGCAGCAGTAGGTGAGGAGCCGCAGAGTGATATCATCACCCAAATGGAGAAGGCGAGTGCTTCACAGTTTGACCCTCCAGTTTAGGCTGTAGATATAGGACAAGCTGCAGTTCTGTTACATCAGAGAGGGAAAGGAGAGAGACAACTATAAAGCTTTTCCATTTATTTTCTGTTCTAAGAACTTTAACTTAACAATTCTCGTGGTATTAGGCCAGAGCTGTCTCTAACATTTGTGGTCTTCTCTGAGGGCACACAGGGAGAACATTGTTCAGCATAAGCACTGGTCTTTTTTTCTTTGTATCCCTTTTATAGCAGAGCTTACCTGCCACAAACCTGCGGGATAATGTTCACGGTACCTTCAGCAGCTTTCATGGAAGCTGCTTTTTGAGAAGATGGGGTACTGATGGAGACGGCAGAGGGTCCTTGCTGCCACTGACGACCCTGAAGGCTGTGTGATGGTAGCTGTGGCTAGGAACCCCCAGCTCCATACACTCTGGTACCCTTGCAGCAACATGTCATGGGGCCAAGTCATGGTGCTGACAAGTGCTGCAGAGCTGGGGAACCCCCATGGCAAAGCAACAATCTCCCCTTGCTCCTGTGCAAAGGACTTGCTGGCTTCTCCCCTCCTTCTGCCCACGCTGACTGGATTGGGAGCAGACCAAGCGACCAGAATGCTCCTTGAACAGCTGCAAATCCAGAAAGGGATTCTTGTTCCTGTGTTAAATATAAGCCTGGAAGAGTCACCGGTGTGACTGCATCCGAAGCACAGCTCCACTGCTAGACAAGAGGCGAGCGGCTCTGAGTCACTCCCTGGGAGCAGGCTGGGGCTGTCAGGATGGTGTCTGGGCCAGGGGCATGTGTTGGCTTGCTCTCCCCAAGGCCCTGCACCCGGGCTGGCACCTTAACAGCTGGGTGATGAGGCAGAGCTGGGCTTCTTGTGAAACATACCGATGCTCCGCACTTGCCAAAACAGCTATTTGGGAGCAGCTCGATGTGCTCTTCATCCCCTGCTGGCCCTGGCCTCAGCGTGGTTACATCCAGTAAATGCAGCACAGGATGGGGAGAGAAACTTCTGTATTAGCTTCCTTCTCAAGCCTGGAGCAGGGGCCACAAAGGTACCAGTGAATGAAATCCATCTGTCTATGTAACCACACATGACTCTGACCCTTTCAAACACTGGTTTCAGCTTTGCAAACAAGCACATCCCTTCTGTTGTATGTGCTATCACAAGCAGCACCTCTTTGTAGGGAAGGTGCGCTGCCATAAGCAGCAGTGAGAGCTGAGCTGCCAAAACCCCTGCCTATACCAGATCCTCCCCTGGCAGAGAGGCTTCATGTCCTAAATGCCCCTTTTCAACCAGAGCTCAGTGTTGTTGCGTCTGCCTGTGATGTTCAGCTGAGACCCCTCAGCAGTAGGGGGTAGATTTTGATCCTTCCCTTTGATCACTTCTTGAGTGTATCAATTTAAGCCCCTTCCAGCTTTCCCAGAACAAACAACAAACTTTGTGGTCCCTTGGGAAAAGAAATGTGGTTTTTTTCTCTGTGGATGTGTTTTCTCTCTTCTCAGATGTGAATCAAACCAAACCCAGGGGTATTCCTAAAGCAGAGCCCAGCTGGTTTGTAGAGCTGGTGAGTGGAAACTCCCTTGAAATATACTTTATAGATGCTCCTCGAATAGCAAGGAGAGCTACTTTCCCCTACTGCCCTTTCCTTAAAGGCAGGACCTCAAAGGGCCATCTCCTGAGGCTGTAACTGTGAGAAGTCCCTCTTCCACTGAGAAAGGATGTCCTGGTTTTGCTCTCACGAAACAGGCGCTTTCATCAGCTTTGCAATGCTGATACCAACAAATGCTAAATATCCATTTCCTAGACTGTTTTTTTCTGTGTCTGGTTGTACTTCTGGCCTTAAATTTTTCTACCTTGGAAACAGGTAGTATGTTATGGACCCCACTTGTGAAGCATCTGAGACTGGCAGTTGAAAACTGAGAAAAATGGGGAAGATTTGGCTACATAATACAACAGAAGATAGTTTTTATTGCCATGGTTTTAATGGAATTGCAGTAGGATTTTTATATGAGTCTCTGAAAGTCTGTGACTTCAAATAACTCTGAACCTCCAGATTTGTACTCTCACCTTGTTCTTGTTTAAATAGATGTTACCATCACCTGCTTGATATATTATCTGTCCCAGCACACAGTCAGGAGGAATATCCCTTCTTTTAGATCGTATGCATTGCTAGAGCTCAAAACATAAAATCACAGAATAGTTTGGGCTGGAAGGCACCTTAAAGATCACCCAGATCCACAGGCAGGGATGTGTTCCAGTGAACCAGGTTGCCCCAAGCTCCTGAGGTCCAACCTGGCCTTGAACACTGCCAGGGATGGGGCAGCCACAGCTTCTCTGGGCGCCCTGTGCCAGCACCTCAGCACCCTCACAGGGAAGAATTTCATCCTAATGTCTCATCTAAATCTCCCCTCTGTCAGTTTAAAGCCATTCCCCCTTGTTCTGTCACTACAGGCCCTTGTACCCTTTCTTATAGGCCCCCTTTAGTCACTGGAAGCTGCTCTAAGGTCCCTCTGCAGCCTTTCCTTCTCCAGGCTGAAGAACCTCTTGTTTCACCACAGGACCGCTGCACAGAGCAGCCAAGGGCTCCATCAGTCCCGGGGTCCTACAGTGTCGCCCCTCGCTGATGTACCAGCAGTGCCAGCGGGGAGGAGCCCGGCCTTTGCCCGTTATCCGCGTCGGGCACAGCAGGCTGTTCATCACAGCGCCGAGCCCTGCCAATAAAGCTTTCTCTCAGCAGAGGGAGTTGTTTCTCAAGGTAATAAGATAGCGTTATCTGATTGCATTTTTGTCAGGTATCTCCTATTTATTACCTCACCTGTAATCTAATTTGTAATGTATTTCCCTGATATTTTCTATATTTCTCCCCTGTATTTTTTAATAACTTCCTCTGAAAGCTTGATCTACAAAAAAAGACAAGGTTTTTAATCCAGCTTTGAATGATAACACCTCCCCAGGTGCCCTTATCTGGAAAAGCTCTCCTAGCACAGAGAGAGGTCTGGTTGGAAAAGCTCAGCACCCTCTGCAAACGTGCTAGGGCAACACTATGTTACAGTGCTGAGAGCACTTCATCCCAGCCAGGAAAGCACCAGCAGCTACTTTCTACCTGTGATAAGAATGGCCAGAAAGCCATTCCTGCTCCAAAGGGGCTAGATGAATGTACATGAGAGGCAATAACCAGGCTGTGTCAATAGCTGGGGTGGGCACAAGGTTAAAACAACAGCTACAAGCCAGGTGAAAAGCCAGTGCTGATGTGCCTCAGCTGCTCAGGTGCTTCTCCTTAGCTTTCAGCAGGAAGCATGGAGCAACAGTTTGGGGAATAGAAAAACACCTGCATCCAGCTGCAGGTGACTCCTAGGCTGGGCAGAGACCTCTCGGGATAGCAGAGCTGAGCACGGTGGTCCTTCCACCTGGAGCATGGACCTAGGAGGGTTCGTTGGGGTGACAAGTGATGCACATCATGGGAAGAAGTGGCATTTTCAGGCTGGGGTGGGTTTCCCACACAATGTGGGGCTGGTGGCTCACCGGGGCATGAGTTCCTTCCCACCTGGTTAGTTCTGCTCCTTCATGGCTCTGCTGCTGCAGTTGTTGTAAAACAAAGTTCAGCCTAAGCCTGCCTCCTGGACCTGGAATTCATCATTCTGGTAAAGGCATTTCAGAGTCAGATGCCCTTAAAACAGAAAGAAATGCCCCTTTTTGTGGATGCTAATGAAGTTTTTATCTGGGCATCTCTGCGTGAATGTTGGGCCTGAGAGGCATGGATGATGTTGGGGGAGAAGGGCTTACTGAGCCCTGGAAATAAATCAGAGGAGGACAGAGGATGAAGATGGCAAATGATAAATTAGCAAGTGACAGAAAACAACTGCAGGAAATAATAAAACCAGGAGGAGTGTGTGGGAAATGCATGGGAGAGGTTGTTTACAACATGTGCATCGGACTTTCCAGCATTTGACATCTTATCTCTGTTTCATTCCATATGTTACTTTATGCATGGATTCCTGTTTTTATGGGGTTAGTTCTATACTTTTTGTACTAACATGAATGACTCACATCTGCTCCAGTACTTAATTTATCCTCTAATGTCTTCTGCATGGGGTTGCTCAGCTTGTGCAATAGTTGTCAGTGGCAGGATTGGAAAAGCAGTGAGTGAGGCAGGTGAGCAGGGACAGCTCGGTGAACGCAGCTCCTTGCTGGAGTCTCGCTCTTGGTTTTATTTTCCTCTCCTAGCAATGTCTGTAATTCCCACTTTGGCTGCCACGGGGCTGTGTGCGGAGCCAACAGGGATCACCCCACAGGACAGGGATGATGGCTGAGGGCTGTTCCTGCAGGACCACAGCCCGGCACCGAGCTGCTGCCAGCATACCAACAGCATGATGATTATGATTTTATTTTTTAAGTGCTCTTGACAGCTCCGGAGGCTCACATCTTCTCTTCCAAATCCAGTAATTAAATTCCACCTACCTGAATTCCCCCTGCTGCTTCAATTGGATAAATTAATCTTCCCATCATGTCTGAGCCTCCTCTGTGTGTTGTTGAGCGCTGGCTTCCCCTTGCCCCGGGATGGGGACGGGGACCGGGACCGACTTCGCAGAGGCGCGGGGGGGGAAGTGGCCTGGACCCAAGCACTGTGAAAGGGGGTCAAGAGACGGGTGTCCCGGTTATCCCCCCGCACGCCAGAGCGCTCCGTGTCCCCGAGAGGCTGCTTCCAGCGGGCAGGGCAGCAGCACGGTCCCGCACCTTCCGCCGGGCGGGGGGGGCCTGCCCGGCTCGGCTCCCTGCGCACAGCACCTACCTTCGGCGAGCGGCTCCAGCCCCCCTCCTCCCGGCGCCTCCTTCTCCTCCTCCTCTTCCTCCTCCCCTCCCCTGCAGAGCATGCACAGCCCGGGACTCGCATCGCCGGCTCCGAGGCGGGCAGGCGAGAGCCCCGCTCCTCTCTTAGCCCCGCTGCCGGGAGGCTCCCACCGCCCTTCATCCCCCTTCTCAACCGGACTTTTCCCCCCGCTCCCCAGGGTGATGAGGCGGCCGACGCGGCGGCTGGCGCTGTCTCTGCTGGGGGTGCTCTGGCTCGCCGCCCTCCTCCTCTTCTTCTTCGGGGCGAGGAGGAAGTTGGAGGCGGCGGGAGCCGAGGAGCGCACGCCGGAGGTAAGGAAGGGGCCGGGGCCATCCCGTTGGGATGCAGCCGGCGGGCAGGGCACGCAGCAGCTGCCCGGGGAAGAAGTTCCCGGCGGTTTTCGGGACCCCCGCCCCATAGCGCTACCCTTAAAGTTTTGCACCGGCTCTGTGCCCGGGGCGGGGGGGGGGTTCGGGCCCTTTCCTTTCCCCCTCCCGGTCGCGGTGCCCTCTCCTTCACGCAGCCTCTGGCAGGGACAGCCCCATCTGCTCCCCTTCCTCTCCCCGTCCCTCGTTCAGCGGGGGCCGCAGCCGTCGGGGTTCCCCGAGGCTCGGGGACCGGTCCTCTGCCCCGCCGCCAACTCTGAGCATCCCTCGCTTCGGGCCTTAGGTCCCTGGAGGCGGGAGACCGGCGCGTGTTTTATGTCCCCCATAGGGGACAGGCGACTGCTTTCCGCCGTGGGTCACGCAGTGCTTCCGCGCCCCCCCCCCCCCCCCCCAAAAGAAGGGCTCCAACAATCCTGTCGCGGAGAGGGGAGCAGATGGAGAACGTTCGGGTGCTCCGTGGCAGAGCTGCAGGGCAGGAGGAGTGCTGCCCTGTGGGTCTCAGCCTGTGTGGAAGAAAGGGTACATTTGCCATCGCGTTGTTTGTGTGTCATGTTTGGGTCCAGGGGGTACCAGCACAGGGTAGATGTAAGGAGCATCCCACTGAACACAGAGTGAAACGGAGGAGTTTTGCTGCCGAGCTGCAAGCAGCTCCTCTGGAGCAAGGTCCCATGTCCTCTCCTCTCTAACAAGCTTAGCTGAGGGGTTAACTTTCCTGAGGACATGGGTTAGATGCTGCTCTTAGTTATACAGTTGTAAATCTTGAATATTAATGGGGGTTAAAGCCCAGGTCGTGAAAATCTGCTGACATTAAGGGTTAGATGATCTCCAGAGCTCCCTTCCAACCCTAATGATTCTGTGGTTCAGTGTTATTGTGGCAGAGGAAGACTGTGAGCCCTCAGCCCTTTTTTGCACCAGTGACACACAGCTGAGCCTTTGGCCTGTGACATAAGGCAACAGTATGTGTTGGGCAGGTCTTTGGAGAGCCTCATGTATGTGTCACCTCTGCAACTGAATTAATGATTTGGGGGGGGGGGGGAAGTCAGAGCTCATAAAGCTTGCTTTGATTTTTTCATCCTGAGGAATTATTGGTTTTCCATGTTTCTTAACTAAAAATGATGGAGGAGGTATTTCTCAGGCTTTCAGAAACCTTTCAATCCTAGCAAAGGGGAATGAATCTATGCAATTTCAGGCCCGAAAATAAATAATTATAGATGCATTTATTTATTTATTTAAGCAGGGGGAGGCAATAACTCACTGGAAACGGAGTTGTTAAACAAGTGCTTTCTTAACCATAATGATGCTTCGGTGTTAGTAGGTTTCTGCCAGAACTGTGTGCTTAAGGATTGCAGAATGAGACCTGCCCTGTTTGATGAGAGCTCCTGTGCTCTCCTTGAAATGAACTTTGCTTCTCCCTTCGCATCAGCTGCAGCTGAATTGCTGCCCATTTTAACTCCCCCCTCCTATGCGAGGCTCATCTGTTAGGGTCCGGGCTGGGCTCCCACAGCTGGCAAAGCAAACTTCTCCCATCATGCAGGCTCAGGCCCCCAAGTTTCGAAGCTGCAACTGCCAAGTTGCCGTAACTCCAGCAATCTGACTGCAAAAATCACCTCTCCTTCATTTCCTCTGAATTTTCCATCAAAACAGTTGTGTCCCCTGGAGATCCATAGAGTGCAGAGTCTTTTTTTTTTCTTCTTCTTCTATTTAATGCATTACATTTTTTGGCTTTGGAAATTGCTTTTGAGCAGTGTGAATTAAGGCCAGGCTGGACAGGACTTGGAGCACAACCTGCTCTAGCGGAAGGTGTCCCTGCCTGTGGCAGGGGTTGGAACTGGATGAGCTTTAAGGTCCATTCCAACCCAAACCAGTCTGTGTATTATAAGCTGGTTGTGAGCG